ATTTATGAAAATTTATAAATTCGTATTTCGTCATTTCCGATGTCAAACGTAACAAAATCGAACAATCAATACTATAAAATTAATTCAATTAAATAAATATTCGACATAACCTTTTAGTTTTTTTTTTATCATGGTATTGGTTAAATTTATTAATCCTACTACAAGTACGTGATTAGATTTATGATAAAAAAGAAAAAAAAATAAACATATATCCGGATATGTATATATATATATATATATATATATATATGGTTTTACGTTAGTATAAAGTAACTGGAATTAATGGATAGCAATTTATGCTCAATGAATATTCGTATCGGGTCGAAGTATGGAAATTACCATCGATTTAATTTTATATGTTTTTTTTTATCTGTATTGTTAACAAAAAAAAACAAATATATATTATATATGCATAAAAATAAATATATAATATGAGTGGATTTATTTCATTGTAATCGCAGTATTGATCTAAAAGATATTTCCCCGTACGTGGCCAGTATGATTTTGAGCCAAGGACAACCTTCTATATTTTTATGGCAAATGATGAAAAGAGAACGAAAAGCAACGACTTTGTCAAATTGGCACAAGGTTAAACGTCTACCGATGGTAATTAATAGAAGCAAAGATCTACACTATCACATCTACAACTAATAGTTGTGTAAATGAGCAAAAAAAAAAAAAAATCCAAAAATTACTATAATAATCTCGTACGATATCCTTCGAAATGCAGTTTTATTTTGTTTATTATTACACTACACTACACACGTGTATCTAACATACAAAATCTCATTTGCATTGAATAATATCATCATCTAACGTGAATAATTAACATTTCAAATGTCCTATTCGATTGACAAACGAATTTCCATTATTGTTACAAAACAAATTTAAAATAATTCAATATTAAACTTATGAAAGTAATAAGCTATGATTGAACGTGTAAACAACAATTCACGAGTTATTTGAAAAGTCGCAAAATATTATGTTAAATTAATGAAAGATCAAAATAAAGGAATAATTGGTTAATAAATGCAATGATTTTCTTTACTTGACAACAATTGTCATAATTAGTCGATAATATGACTAATTCATAGTCGACTATATATATAAGACCATACAGGGGAAATCATTGTCCCACCCCACCCCCCTTCCTGTACCTCCAAATATCTTATAATTACCTGATTATATAATATACAATATTATAATAATATATTAATATAAATATTAAACGTAAATTATAAAAAGTGTAATATGTGATATAGTTTAACTAAATACTGATATATGTATATCACTGTTTAACAATTATTTAAAAGTTTATATAATGTTATTTCAAAATGTATTTATATTTCTTAGTTTTAAGTATTAGTAATTTTAATATGTACCACAGTCTATGTACAGGTAACTATGTTTACCTCTTGTAGGATTTAATATGTATTAACCTTATTATTACTATGTAAATTATTTTCTTTCTGGTATAATAAATAGATAAATAAATAAATAAATAAATATGTCGTTAAAAGATGTTCTTATTATTAGATATAAAATGATCGTTGATCTCCACTCGTGGTAATTATCTATATTTTAATAGTATACGTTAATGAGTTCATTATTTTATGCCGCTCCCCCCCCCCCACTTATTTTTGTTTCTTTTTATCAAAAAATGTGTAAGTATCGTTTGATTTAATTATTTATTTAATTATACTTAGAATCGTTTTGATTTCGATTTAAAGAGCCATATAAACGAGACGAAGGAACCTTTTGGTCTCGCATTGGAATCGTTGCACAGATATTTTTGACGATGTCAGCTATCAACGACGAAATACGATTCGTGCACGTGGAAAAGACGTTGTCACGTGGCAATTTGCCAATCGTATGGGAATATAAACGATTTTCCCTCTCTCCCTCTCCCTCTCTCCCTCTATTTCTTTTTCTTTCGTTTTAACCTTTGATCGTTCTAACAAATTTGTATTTTTTTTTTGTTTTTTTTTTTAATTTCATTTTTTATTATTTTCTTCAATAGACGACGGTGTAAAGAAAATTTGTTTATTGATCAAAATTCACGATATCGAATAATACGGTGAACGATAATTTTAATCATCACTTTTTAGCGTTTACATTAATATCAGCATTACGCATAATAGTAGAGACAAATTTACGGTCTTATTAATGATACACTATTAATACATACATAGTATCGTGTATAGTAATATGTATATTTTTCTGTAAATATTAAAATAAAATAAAATAAACATTTCTTTTTCGATATCGTACGAAAGAGCAATATACTCTCTAATTTAAAGCAACGTCACTGCTACTATGTCATGTGACAAAATGATAAGACAAGGATCAATTTGTGAAACAATTTTGGATAGAAATTTTGTTCGCAATTACAAGGTGAAAACAAACGTAAGTGTATAGAAAATTGGCAAGTCTAATTGGCAATAAACATTTCGAGTATCGTTTGTACATTGATTTTTTCGTAGAAAAAAAAAAAAATAATAACGTTTCGAATGAACCTCACCTAGAGATATAATATGTAAGACACACACGTGAATATAACACACACACACGTGAATATAACACACACACACACACACCTGGAAGGTTAAAATAATGAGATATTTCAGGGCACATCTAATTTTGGATTCTCTCAGAAGTATTCGAAAGACTCAACCACGAGAGTTTTCCATTAATTCTCAGCAAAACGAGGTCACGTCTGGTTTTCACGATTTTCTTTTTTTTTTCCACTGACGACTATGGACTTATGTACGTAAGTACCTATCCACCACGTTAGTATACATGTATATATATATATATGTGTGTATGCATGCACGTACACTTGTACTTGTGATTATTTTTGTTATCGAGGCCATGCAAAGGAAAATTTGCACAAAAATTGTTCCGAAATCCATGACGTTACATGTTTTTCTCGTTTTTTTTCTTTTTTTCTTTTATCTGAACTCACTCACTCATTCACCACATTAACTTTTCAAACGAGTATGGGTAATAATTTAAAACAACAATAACAATAAAAATGGGAAAAAGATAAAAGTTATTTACTTAAAAAGAAAAATATGTTTTCGTTTGACTCGATAATTTCGAACTTGAATCTAGTTCCTTTAAAATGCAATAGGATCATCGTTTAATCTTTTCGCGATGGCAAACACACATGCGTATACAACCTATGTAAAGACACGAAGGTTATTAGCACAGGTGGCCCACTAATCCAGAAAAGTATTGGTGGTGAGTCGTGCAGTCACGTGATTTCATGCACGCGAATGATCTCATCTATCCAAGGATTATCGATATACTTTTCCTCTCTACCCTTATCGACAAAAAAAAAAAATCACACTAATTTTCTAAATGTGATGAAAAACGGCCGAGACGAGTTATTTTTTGTTTTTTCCCCCTAAATGATTGATTTTTCTCAAAACGTTTAGAACTTTTTATTTTCTTGTCTCTTTTTTTAAACAAAATTTTGTGTATTTGTATTTAATCATTAATGAAATATTTTTTTTTATCGTTCTTCCGTATCACATAAATTATTAATTATCTTATTTTAATTTTATTTGCTTACTTTTCTAATTTATCTAAATTAATACGCACAATATGGTCAATAAAGCTAAATTATCTATTGTTATATATATATGTATGTGTATAATAATGATTGTCCATATACGCAACGATTGACACAAGCGACCTGTATAAATATTTACGTCAACGATATATGTAACTACGTTACAAAAAAAAAAGAGGACTTATTTAAATTTCTGTATAAAGGCAGAAGACGGTCTCACGTGTGTGATTGTGAATCAGACCATACCAAAGCTATACTAAAGTCAAATTTATTTGTAATTAAAGTAAATTCGAATGTTTTAACAAAAAAAAAAAACATATAATACAAAAATCTTATCATGATTTATCGGTAAAACGTATTAATAATTATTGCACCAAAATAAGTAATAAATAAAAAAAAAAACAAAAAATAGAAACAAATAAATAACTTGCCATTACTTTGTATTATAAATGATTTCCAACGTATATGCATTTTATCTTTACTAAAGTAATATACATCTCGTATTATCTTTTATCTATAATAATAGATAATTATCAAATAATTTACAAAAATAATCATGGGCTTTTACGTAACATTCGATTGTATACCGAGAAGTATATAATTCGTATTATATTAATATCTTTTGAAGAAGTTTGATAAGGTGCTTTCGTATTGCAAGGTTGTTAGAAGGATTCGGGTTGGTAGCACTAAACACGTATCCGAGGTCATTTACACTACGAGATTATATGAGTACAAGAAAGAGAGAACGGTTGCAACGGACGTTTCAGTGTCAGGACGGTTATTTCTGATTTTTAAAAGCACTCTATTTTGAGAAAGAAAAATATTTTAAACATGTTTTTTTTTTTTTAAGTATGAAAAAGAAATACTTTATCATTTCTTTTTTTTTTCTTCTTCTCTTTTATATGTACATGTGCTAATACACTCTCTCACTCTCACCCTTTTCTCATAAACATGAAATCAAATTAAAATGTTTGTCAAAGATCCTTTCATTTTAGTATTAAAAATATATTGTTATTTATGAAATAAAAACAAATATCAAGTAAAACTGAAGTAAAATGAGATAAAAAAGAAGCATTAACGTTCAAGCTCAAGCTTAAAGAACTATTGTAAAGCTTAGAAACCTCATAACTTTGTGCCACATTATATTAATGTCTCTGTAGTTTTGTATAACTAAACAGAATGTACTATGAACAGTTATGCATATATATATATATATATATATATATGTGACTCATCGACATGTTACTACGCTTTATAATACTTTATGATGAGACTATTAAATATAGAATAATTGCATCGATACCGATGTCCACATAATTATTTGATTCTAGATAACGCTATGTATGTAAAATAAAGAATAATAAGATACAACAAAAGTTAGTGATTGAATTGTATCAGCGAAAACAGTTCATAAAAGAAATACCTCTTGAGTAAGTTCTGCAGCACCAATAGGTTCAGCTGGTTGTTGAGAAGAACTAGAAGAATCAGGTGATGTCATATTGCTTGATGTTTCTGTTGAAATAGGTAAACTTGATCCAGCTGTAGCAGCATTTCTACCTGTATCTTCTATATTTAATAGATATGCGTGTATATCATTGGAGCCTGAGTTCATTCTGTTATATCTTCCCAAAGAATTTAATTCTTCAAAAAGATCCCTTTCATAGTTTAGAAGCACCGAATCTAGATTTTTGGGATGTACAAACATTGGACGATGTACAATGGTATGAGCATCAGTATGCCAACCAGATCCATTATGAAGATCCAAAGAGCCTACACCCATAGCTTGGATATCCAAGCCAAGGTAAGACTCTGGGTCCACTCTTAACAAGGAGAGTAACAGCGCGAGCTGCAACAACTCCTCTCTATACAACTTCTTAAGACACAACATGTTGCACACCGTATTCCAATAGTTTCACCAGATATACTTATATTATAAAGAGTTTTATATTCCTTTACGTGTTGTCACAGTTGCTTTTTCTTATTATCTAATATCTGCCATAATGTTAACATATTGATCATGGATCAAATGACACTTAAAGCGTCTTTATTACTATATTCGACAAAGTGTCAATATCGATAGAAGATCTATCGACAAATATAGTAATGATGTAGAGCATAAATTCGATATTAGCCACTAGATTATAATTCTTGAAACTAGTTATTTAGGTTGTCACTTTGAGGTTATGTAGCACTGTGGACAGTGTTGGTGTTTACTCGTGCGAAGATTGTCAATAATGATCTCGTAGTTTAATCTTCGAAGATGATAGTTAGTAGAACGTCTTCTCGGTACGACTGTCAGGAGGAAAATAAAGGTTAGTCTTAGATGAATGTAGTAGGTCAGTTACACGAACGACTGATACAAAAATAACCTCAAAACACGCACTCTCTCCAGTCAAACTTCAACACGGTTTCGCGCACATCCCACGCGTGCCTTTCCTTTCATCCAAGAAAATTCAAGGATTTTTAACGCTTGCCAGTTTGCCCTTGTGTATCTCTTTTAACTGAGAAACGGTAGGCAATGAAAAAAAAAAAGGAGATTAACTATATACATACATACATATATATATATATATATATATATATATATATATATGTATATATGTATATCTATGGAGACACAACACGTATAGGTGTGAATATGGAGGGAAGGAAAGTGGGAGGTAAAAATAATACAAATACGTTAAAATACAGGTAGGATGAGCAGGTCATCGACTACTATACCGGGTCTTGTAATGTTTCTCTTTTTGTCTTTTTCTTTTTATACTTTTTTTTGTAGCCTTGAGATCGATGAATCGTCGAATAATATTTCACACTATTCCAATTATTCCTTCAATAAACACGACACTATACTAAATGATGAAATATGATAACAAAGTACGATAAGAAAATTTGGATATTGTTTTTCTTTCACGGAGACGTAAGAGTACACCTTGCTTAGAGAGATCGTCAACGATATGTGACTCAGCAGTCACTCTGGTAACGTCGCCGTACGGCAGGGCCGCAACGAGCATACACTTCCCCCCGGTTTTCCGTCTTTTATACTTGTAAGCAAATAAGTATCAATATCTACTACGCGTTATATTCACAATAGTTAAGACAATTCGATTCTACGCGCGATGAGTTTACTTTCTCCCACTTTATTCGATTGTTCGATAATGTACTTACACGATTCGTCTTTGTTTAATTTCGCGCCACTCACTACGATCTCTCCTATTGGTCGATCAGTCGAGAAAGCGCGCGAGAAATATAAGCACGAATGGTAAGATAGAAAAGTGTACGTGACGTGTTACCGTTTCTTTCGTTGTTGCAATATTAATTAAGTTTTTTTACTTTCAAAGAACAATGAAAGTTGTTTTTCTTCGATAAAAAAATGTACGTGTGACTAATACGTAATAAGCATTGCATTCTTATACGAGTACAACGGATTAATAAGATAAACTCCTTCGACGACCATTTTTAAATTCGTGGAAAATCTCTTTTAGATAGGTTAGTTATCTTATATTGTATATATATATATTTATATATATTGAATTTTCACACTTAACAAATCACTTGTTATAATAAACACAAATTTATTTTTTCCTATATTATTTTGTTCTGATATTTGTAATATTAAAATTATATTCATTAGTTATAATAATTAAATATAAAAAAAAAAAATAGAGTCACAGGTTTGTTATTATTGAAAAATGATATGATAAATTATTTTATTTGATAAATAATCTCTTTAGAATAGTAAATCTTTTTGTATTTATTGATTAAACACATGAAAAATCGTAATAATATAATCCACGATTGATAACATGATTCGTGAACATCCACAGTTAGATATGAACGAATAGGATCATTCGATAGACTGAGTGAAAAGATATTATACGATGATACTTATATAACATCGTAATTTTTCATTTCATTTTCACAACTTTTTGTTCCCAAGGAGAGTTCATAGTTGCGCAATCAATCACGACTTCCGATGATCGACTAATATACGAAGCAATACTTTGTTTTTACTTGATAGCGATGATAAACTTTTAGCGTTCATTTTCAAATCTTTCTGTTGTTTGACCTTCGATATAAAAATCTATTATTATTCTTACATTTCCGACGTCCACTCTTTACATTTTTATCGAAGCTTATCAAAACAACAATTTGATTACAAAGGAACAAAGGAACAATTCTCTTTGAATTAATTTTGATCTTTTTTTCTTATTAATTTTTACTCTTTTAACGAAATATTTGTAGTGTAGATGACCGATTGGCAGAACAAATTGGTACGATTATGGACGAGTACATAATTACAAATAGATAATAAGTAATCTTAACTCATCATATATATATATATATATCTTTTCATATTATTTTCCTTTATTTATTTAACAAAGAATTGTATAATATACGCATGTATATCAATTTTACTGAAGAATAATATTATTTGTAATTATTTTTATAAGACTCGATATTGGTATAGAAAATAAATGATAAATAATCAAAAAAAAAAAATATCAACTCATAATACGTATACTTCTTAAAACGGATTTTAATTTCGATTTATTTAAAATATCAAAAAAAAAAACGATAAACAGGAACGTTTTCGATTATATACGACAAACAGGAAAACTAATTTCAATTCTTATTTCGTCGTTTTTTATTGGAACAATCCAATGTGTAAACAAAAAAAAAAAGAAATAATCGTATGGAATCGTTTCCAAAGGTGAATCTTGTTAACATAAATAAATATATGCAAATGAGAAGTGAGAAGGAATATAATTGACTAAATTCAAAAAATAATGAAAAAAATATATCGCAATGTATTCGTGAGATACTGACGAAAGACATGGTCGATGTTGCAAAAGGATCGACCTTTGATACATCGAGAGATCACGTGGTTTTTTAAAAGTCGCGTTGGAAGCATTTATGTCGGTTGGCAATGTGTTTTGTTCAAAGTCGCTAGATCGCGCTTACATACAAAACGTCGATCATTTACGAACCAGTGTAGATCAAATCGCATCGATGATCTACAGACGCGAGGATCTATGATCTGTGTAATAAAAATATGATTGACATTTTTCTTACCTCATTGTTGTTGACTTTCATTACTTTTATTTGAGAAGTGAGATCATGGCACGGTGTTGAGATTCTCACGCGTGGTAGATCCTCGTGTTGGAACATGATTGGAATGTGTTACCTTATTTCTTCTCTTCACTTTACGTAGGAAAAATACGATGAGGAATATAATGATACGTCGATCGCGTGTTACGTTTCAGAAGGTCTGATTGATCGAGAGAAATCGAGAGATACAGAAAGATGGAGAGGGAGAAATGAGAATATATATATATATATATATAAATAAAAAATAAAAACCAATAAAAAGTAATCCGAATGAAAGAATGTGCAACACAATATCAACGATACTTCCTATCAAATTAACCAATTATAATATTATTTATGACTAATTTCTTTAAACGCGTAATTTTGTTTTTGTCCTTTTCAATTATTAGGATAAAAAGATAATAATGATTCTGTTTGAAAAGCGATCTCTGATATTGCGTCGATCAAACTGGCGTGTTCGTCATTTTGTCTTTCAATAAGAATAAAAATGGTATTACGTCATCGAGGTGCGTAGTAACGCGCGTAATACGAATGAATATGAAAACTCAATTCGACGATATCTCGAATTGTTTTGATTCGTTTGACAATTTTTCTAATAATATGAATATAATTCGAAATCAATTAATCATTCGCATGATTTTTACATTAAACATATAATATATTCATTTTGTATGCTTGTACATATCTCTTAGTTCCATATCTTTGTTTTTTTTTTGTTCGCCCATTTTTTTTTTATACAACAAAATATCTATGACAACAGTACAGTTTGAGAACGGTATACAATATATCATTATATCGATAATTCATTCATAAATATGACGACGCAAGACAGCCTCGTTCTCTTTTTAAAGACGTTTTTATAACGGTATCGTGTCGTGATTGCATAAAATACGTAAAGTATTATGTACTCTTGATTACTCTGGTTGTCCAGTCTTTCGTTAGAAAGTCGCATCGGTTTTTAAGAAAAAAAACAACAAACAAAACAAAACAAACAAAAAATCTCTCGCAAAGTTTGAATATAATGCATAAATCAACAATTATAATAATTCTACATCGTCTTATTATATACATAATACGTATGTACATAAATACATAATAAATATATTAGAATTACGTGTAAATACGTACATACATATTATATTATCGGATGAGGAAGAAAATATTTTCTTTTTTCTTTTGTCAACTAACGAAATTATTTTTCTACAAATTTTCCAAGAAGAAAATCAACAATTGTCACTAACGCGATCGATTTTTATCGCTGATATACGAAGAACATACATTATTATAATTACATAATAAACGTGCGTCATTGACAACGATTATCCTGTTTTTTTTTTTTTTTTTTTTTTATTTCTTCTTCTTCTTCTTCTTCTTCATCATTCTGAATGTGAAAAATTCAGAATTTTTCTTACAAAGGAACATGGTCTGTGCGATTTCGATTCTTTCAACTAAAGCAATGAGAAATATTGCACTCGCTCTTATACAAATACTTTCGGATAATACATATGACTGTTGTTATTTGTTTTTATTGTTTATTATGTTCTTGTTTGTTGTTGTTATTGTTGTTGTTGTTATCGTCGTGTCGTGTTTTAAACGTAGGCCAATAAGATCACTCCCATAAGATCATCGGAGCTCGCTCGCAAACATTTTATTACCATATTTACCTTATTTCGGAGCGACGTTTATAATATTTAACGAGAGAGGAATATCCGTTAAGTGAAAAAATATGCTATTTACACGTAAGGTTATCTAGTTGTGCGTCGATTCGTTAATTCGCCGTTGGAGTGTATCAAAATCTACTTAATGGGGACGATGAAAGATTGATACGCTGCCGGTATATACAAATTTTTCTTTTTTTTTTTTTTTTCTTCTTAAGTATTTATGTTAGAGAGTGTGTATGTGTGTTTTGTATGTGTGTTTTTGCGTTTATGTATGTATTTATTTATGCGTGTCATTTTTCTACTCGATCGTATCTCGCGTTGTTTTTTATCGGTTTGTTTGTTTTTGTTGTTGTTGTTGTTGTTGTTGTCTTTTTTTAATTATTATTATTATTTTCCTTTCACCCCCTTTTGTCAAAATAAATTGAATTTTAACGACAAGCTTTTCGCGTTAACAAAAAAAAACACACTTTATATATCGTAGCGTTAAATATCGCGTTATCGGCAGTCGTGTAAAGGCGTCTGCATGGAAATAATAGGAAAAAAAAAGAGAGAGAGAGAGAGAAAGAATGACAGAACAAAAAAATAAATAACAGGGAAAGTTAGAGTTACTTAGATATATAGAAATAGATTGAAATAGATTGAAAGAAGAATGAAAGGGAAAGAGAGTCAGAGAGAGAGAGAGAGAGAGAGAGAAGAAAGAGAGAGAAGAGAGAGAGAGAGAAAGAGAGAGACAATTGCTTCAATTTATGTGCTCTGGCATCGATTAACGTCGTATAATAATAACGTGAACGTTTATCTCTCTGTAATTAACAAGTGCTAATGTCTTAAACTTGAACGGTGATGAAAATTTACAAATCCAATGAGATGAAATCTTTCGAAAAATGTCAATTTACATTTTCTATCATCAAAGATGAATGTTGGGCAGTGGAAGATAACGAGACGCGTAAAATTTTAACGAGGAAAGTATAAATATACTTTTTTTTTTTTTGACTTTTCGTCTTTTCCAATAGAAATTATTTTTCATTTTTCTTTTTACTTTACTTTATTTTACTTTGCTTTTTGTTTTTTTTTACTCACGCTCGCCAAAAAATTTTTTCTTTTTATATACCAGGTATTCTGTTATGTTTGTATGCGTGTGTGTGTGTGTATTTTACGTGTACACATGTATTTATGTAGGAGTACATGAAGAGTGTGTGTGTGTGTGTGTATTTTGCCTCTCGTTTTTTTCGCGCGCCCCAACGAGGAACGAACGTTTCTTTCGCGTGAACGATTACGAACGAAATGATTTAAAGAAAAATCAAAAAAAAAAAAAACAAAAAAAAACAATAGAGAAGAAAGGGGGGGAAAAAGAAAATATTCAAAAAAAAATACTGAAATAGCAAAGGAAATGGAGATGAAAGAAGGTGAGAAACGAATGACGATGGTCTCTCATTATTTTGCGACCGAGTTAATTATTTTCTTAAACGTTGAGGCGCAATGATTAGGACCGCTTTTTTTTGCATTTTTAATTACCATTATCGTTATTATTATTATTATTATAATTATTATTATTATTATTTATTATTATTATTATTATTAATATTAATATTAATATTATTTAATTAATATTATCATTTAATCACCCCTCCGTGTAATCTCGGCACCGTTTAGACGGCTTCTTGTTTTCTCTGTATTTTTTTTTTTTTTCAATATTTTGTTAAATTTCTTCTTCTTCTTCTTCTTTTTCTTCTTCATTTTCTCTCTTTTTCGTTAAACAAAATTTTCCTTTTTTTTTTCTACGACTCTTGAGAACACGACGCACGACATACTTAAATTTCCTAAAATAATAAATGGTATTTTTTTTTTCTTTACATGTGTTTTCTGTATGTATTTTTTTTATTTTTATTTTTATTTCTATTTTTATTTTTCTTTCTCTCCTATTCTTCTTCCTCTTCCTCCTTTTCTTCTTCTTCTTCTTCTCCGTTTCTTTATACGTTTTCGATTTATTTATTTATTTATTTAGTTTTATTTTTGTTAATAATTTCTTTTTTTTTTTTCTTTCTTTCTTTCTTTCTTTCATGCACACCGTACAAAGCGTCACAAGATGATATAAATCTATACACTTTTTCTCTCATAATAAAATATCCGATTTTCTATATATGGCTACGTCTTCACACACGGAGAACGATCAGCTTCACGCTCGAACGTGTAAGTATATAAGTATTTAACTTCAAATACTTACTTACTTACTTACTCACTTGCTCACTTATTTACTCTCACTTACTTATTTATTTACTTACTTACTTACTTACTTACTTATATACTTACTTACTTACTTACTTACACTTACATACAATCTTTCCCGTTTATCCAACAACCTTTAGCGAATACGAATTATACGCGTGATAACATACACGGTACGTTTTTTTTTTTTTCTATCTCACCCCTCTTCCGACTCCCCCCTCCCCTCCTCTCTCCTCCCCTCCCTCCCTTTTTTTGGTTGATTTTCTCATTTTTGTCCTATATTTTAAATGGTTTTTTGTTTCTCCGTTCATTATTAAACCTGTGCTTTTTTCTTTTTTTTTTTTACTATCTTTTTCCTTCCTTTTCTATATTTTTAATCATTTTTTGTTCGCTGTGTTCCATAATATTTAGTACTAGTATCTCATTGAAATCATTTCCCAGTTAACATTTCGCGAATATATACGGCACCGATGATCTTTTTCTCAAATAGACTCGGAACACGATTTTCCATTTCGGACCGTCTAATAGTTGATATGCTACTTAAAACGTACAAAGTGACTGACTAACTAACTGACTGACTGACTGACTGATTGATTGATTGACTGACTGACTGACTGACTGACTGACTGACTGACTGACTGACTGACTGACTGAATGACTGACTGACTTCTTACGAATCTTCGTTTTTTTTTTCTTTTTTTTTCTCGGTCATTTTCTATGATAAATTGATTACATCTAAACAATAACCGCCGATTTAGCTAATCCTCGGAAATGTTGTCTTCTCATTCGATTGACATCACCATCATTATCACCATCATCATCATCATCAGTATCATCATAATCATCATTATTATAATTCAAACACGACTCATTTCATTTCATTCATTTCATTTTTTTTTTTTGTATTTCATCCTTGTCTTTTCGCTACGACAAGCTCGATTTGTTTATCGTTCTACGTATAAACTTAATACACTCTGACGGATGGGTTCATAGGAAATGGGGTAAGTTGGGCACCACGTAGAGGTTGATTATTATCACTCCATTTAAAAAGTTCAATATACTCTAGGGGGGAGACGAAAGATTGTTTTTAAACGTCCTTCGAGGCGTAGGTCTTTAGCCCTTATTTCGACGACGACGCGTCGACGGGGGGCCAATGACTACCCTGTAAAAAATCGTCGTCTTTTGTACCCCTTTTCCCTCCCTACTCCTCGTCCTTCCCCCCTATTTTTTTTTTTCAATATCTCCCTCCCACCCCTTATAACTATATTATAAACTTCATTCGCGTCTCTCATATCTTTTTTTTTTTTTTTTTTTTCTTTCTTATATATATATATATATATATACATATATATATATATATATATGTATTTTTTTTTGTTTTCGGTTTTCTTTTCCATCTCGTTTTTTGTTTTTTTGTAATTTTTTTTTTACGCTTTTGTATCTTCGTTTTACACCTAATATTTCAATCTGCACGCACCGCGTGTACAATAAATAAATACTTTCGAAAGTGCGTATAAATCGGTGTATATAATATGTTTTACATACAAACAATTCGGCAAGTATTACACGCTCGTCGTCGACCGTCAAGAAGATTCATTTTCCGACAGGCGAGGCCTAATCGTGAGACTGAGAGAGAGACAGAGAGAAAGTGTGATAAAAAGAGAAAGTGAGAGAGAGAGAGAGAGGGGTAAAGGAAAAGATAGAAAGATAGAAAGGGAGAAAAAAAAAGATAGCTTTTGTATACCCGGCGGGATCCTTGACGTAAAGGTGTATGTGTGTGAGTATACGTGTGTAATTTTCATCAGTGAAAAGCTAGAGCAATAAAGAAAGCACCCTCCCTATCCGTCCCTCTCGTCTCAGTGTCGGATTGTCTTTCTTTGCAGTCTAATTGTTGCCTAGGTAGAAATATAGTCTTTCGACATAAAATAAAAACAAAACCACAGAATGAAAAATTAGTTGGCGGAAATGGGCCATCTCTGACCGTTTCAATAGCGCTCTCGGATCTCGGCCTTTTCAAGTAGGCTATGTCGCGTTGTATTACCCGCTCGTAGGGTAAATTCTCGTATAAATATAATGAAGAAATATAGCCATACCGATAAAACGACCGAACGATTCCGGGTCATTGCTGTCCCATTTCCGACGAGCAAGGGTTAACACGAATGAACGTCCAAGAAGTCGATCAACCAGTCGTCCAATACGTCCACGTTCTCTTTAACCCAATGAATGTTGAATCTTATCGTCTCCAAACTTTGATCGAGGGCTCGTTTACCGTTACCAACGTCGACCTTTTTAAAAAATTCAGTAACCTTGACAGATTAGAAAAATTCATTTTAATTAATTTTGCTTGGATAGACAAAAGAAATTGGAAAATTCAAATAATATATTATTATTATTATTATTATTATTATAATTATTATTATTATTATTATTATATGTGTTATAATCTACCTCGCGGTAATCGTGCTCTGTGAAGAAATTTGACGTAACGACGCTTATCAAGCTACCCATAGTTAGAGTACCGTTACCAAACAAAGCTTGTATATCGTGCCAGTACGCTTTGAGATGTCGCCAAGCAAGAAACAGTCCTTCCGAATTAGAAGCCACGGATCCTATAACAGTCTCAACGTCTTGAGGTCTCACCTTCTCGCGATCCAAAGAACGTAGAAGGTAACGTTGTAACAACCAAGGATCTGAGGTAGCACCAAGCGCTTGCAACATCACACTTTTCTCGCTAGGAACTTGTGTTTTTTGATAAACCGACCAACAATAGTTCCATTCCGTTTCGCCACCAAATTTTATTCCTGCAACGTAAACAACATCGCGAATGTTTGGCCTAATACTTTTACTATTCAACATCCAATCGTTGAAAAGCGTTTTCGCTGGTTCAACCACGTTCTCCAGCTTCACCGATACTGCTGATTGTAACACCGCAATTCGTAATAATCTAAGGGGAAAAAAGTTGATACTGTGATAGTAACATATGGATAGAAAAAGATAAGGAGACAAATATTTTCTTAATAATAATTACTTGTCCAAGTGAGTTCCTTCGTCCGTCCAACCAACATATTTTGTAATAGGACCTAACAATCGTTTAAGAAATTCGATGTATCTCTTGTACGCCCGACTTTCGGCTAATCTTCCCTTCCAAGAATACAGGTACTTGAGGGCCGTCATCCATGGAACGTAATCTCTTTCATTTAGGAGGTACAATGATAGTTCCAAAGGGATAGTAGCATTTAATTCACCAGCTTCGCATAATTCGAACGCATCGTCGATAAGATTTGCACGATCTGCCGGACTGAATTGCGTGTGATTGTTATGTAAAGTTGTGATAATATACATCCACATGTCTTCTGGATAATTTACTCGATAAAATCCACTTTGATTGACATTGCACTTGATGAATTCAACGTCGTTCGCTATTTCAAAGGTGACTGAAATATCGTAATATCAATGATCAAACGAGGCTAGCTTAGCACATTAGGCTAATCGAATAAAATAATTTTCCAGAAAATACTCTTACCGTCGGTTAAATTCATCCACACGTTTTGCAACTTATGAGGTTCCTTATCTGTGTAATAACTCAGAGGCACGTACCATTTGTAGTTGAAAGGTGATTTTTGATCGATAATTTCTGTGTCGTTTTCATTCGGCAATATGAGAAATCTTTTCTGACTGGCTGTAATGGTATTACCATCGCGTACTATCGTGACCAAAGGAAAACCCATTTGTTGAGTCCACGTATCCATTATGGCCTGTCAATAGTTTCAATTTAAACATAGATCTAACTTCGTCGTTGCTTTCTCATTAATATTTCCGACACTTACTTTGACGTCGAACGTGTGATTGGCATGTTTAGTAAAAACTGCCCAAAGATCTTTGGTGTCTGCGTTTCCGTAAGCATGGATATTGAGATAATCGTTCAATCCACTTCTCAATACGTCTTCGAAAAGAAAACTTTCGAGCATGTTTAGAATCGAAGCACCTTTGTGATAGCTGATAACATCGAAGATAGCTTCTATCTCTTTGGGATCGTCTACTTTTACGCTGATTGGATGACTACTGGAAAGTGCATCGAGATGTAAGGCAGATTGTGTTTTTTCAAGAATAAACTGATCCATCATATTCCATTCCGGTGAAATGTGATTGACACCTTTGTATTCGAAAAAACTGGCTGCCCCTTCGTTCAACCAAAGATCGTTCCACCATTTCATCGTAACGAGATTACCGAACCATTGGTGTGCTAATTCGTGTGCAACAATTATGGCTATCCATTCGTGTGCAGCAGTCGATGTTTCTTCGGGATCGTAAAGAATTGCAGTTTCTCGATAAGTAATTAGGCCCCAGTTTTCCATTGCTTCGGTACCAAAATCAGGAATCGCGATCAAATCTGTAAAGAATGTAGGAATAAAAAAGAATCCATTTGACATAGATAAGATCTATGTGTATAAAAACCTTGTTTAGGCAGTGGATAATCTACACCAAAGAAAGACTCAAAGTAATCCATTGTACGAACGGCGATATCTACCGCATATCTCGCTTGAGGAAGCATCGATTCTGGCGCGTAAACGCTCACAGAAACGTTTCTCTTTGTCATCTCGGAAATCCTTTTAAAATCGCACACAACGAACGCCACCAAGTAAGTAGACATTTCGACGGATTGTTGAAAATCATCTCTAAGCTAGAAATTTGTATCAATTTATCTTTCATTAGATTCTTACGTGAAAAGTTTACTTTGAATATATTTAAATTATTAATAACTAGCAGTTCCAAATATATATTAATTTACTGCAGAATGAAATGTTGTTTTTGCTTTATGACGAATACTTACAAGACCAGTGCCCATATAAAATCCAGCATCCTCCGTATTGACAACAGGCATGTTGCATAGCGCAATATGAAATCTATCCCTGAATATGGAAATCTTGAATTTAGCTTTGAACTGCGGCTCGTCGAAACAGGGAAACGCCGATCGTGCATACGTTGGTTCAAATTGAGTCGTTGCCAAATACCTGATAAGCACAAAAACGATACGATTAGATGACATTGATGAAAGATGAAAAAGACATGAAACGAGGATCGCCTCGAAGCGTTTTCCGAATCGAAAATGATTACAATTTCGGAGTGACCTCTTTTCTCCATCGGCGGTGACGTAACTGCTGAGATAAAAACCCTCCAGATTGCTGGTCAACTTCGAAACGAATCTCAGGTGGACCGTGTAATAGCCCTTTTTTCGAAATTTGCTCTCTTCCAATTGGAGATATAATTGTTGATTCGTCGGATACTCCAATAATTTAGCGATTTTCAATCTATGGCCTTTCCGATCTTGGACCATCTGCAATCATTCAAAACAAGAACTAACAAAGAAGTTCGTTATTTAGAAAATATTGTTTACATATTTCATTATTGTTCTTCTTACCTTTTCGTTTATTGTCAAGTTGTTACTATGGAAGACGATAAAATTGGTCTCTTTATCGACGTAGAATTCGATGGTGACCTGTCCTGTAAAATCAAACGAACAAAACGATTTTATAAATACTTGAAGAAGATAGCAATCGATTGAATAATTTCTTATTACTAAATAATCAAACAAAAATGATTATTATATAAGATTTACCTTTAACTTCTAAGGTGGTAAGATTTGGATGGATGGTGATGTTATACCTAGTAGGATGCACGAATGTAGGTAGCCTGATGTTATTCCATGGGAACACCTGCAAGATTCATCGTTATAGCCTTAGCTTATCTATAACTACGCACATTTCGTTTGTAATAAAGCATTACGAACGTATACCATCGTCCGTAATACTAAAAAATGCATGACCAATAGAGCAGTGTTCGTATACTTTGCTTTACTAGTAATAGAGAGAGAAAGTACGCCTAACGATTGATTTCCCGCCAAGTTGTATCGTTCGCTTGGTCATCTTATATTTGTCGAAAACTCTTTCTAACGTTATAATAAATTCAAATATTCTTTTAACGAACGACGATATTTTAAGGGGTTTTGATAATGATGATTCATAAGAATAAATTTCATTCGTACCTCCCCATTAGTTGCGATAGGCTCGTTGCTCTCTTCATCGTCTTCGATTTCTATATTGGCTGGCCTTTGTCCAGCGCAAGGGCAGTCTGTAAAGACAAAAAAAAACGAATAATAAATATAAATAAAAATTATGACAATAAAAAGAAATCGAGTAAATAACAATATCAAAAAATACCATTTTGTGGTCCCGCGAAGGCAATGATGAGTGATATGGCGAAAAGTAGCGCGAAAACGACGGTGGCTATGCAGAGTGCCCTTTTTTGTGAGCAGACGATTCCATTGGGCTCGTAAATACTACGTTTGTGCAATCCGGTGTTGCTGTCTTCTGAAACAAAGAAACCCCTTCTGAAGAATGCTCGTTGATCGTGCCCGTATGCACGGTCTACTTCTTTGAGTAAAAAACAAAAAAAAATATCGACGAAGCAGTACTTCTATTCTCTTCCCATTGTTATTCGTCGTTGCTCGCGGAACTTGTACTCTTGAGACTCTTGAGTTTTGAAACGGGGCTACGATGTCGATGAGTGGGGAGGGGGCGAGGGGTGGAAAGAGCTTATCGCGGTTGAAAAATTTACGTTCATACATATATGTATATATACATTATTTTCGAACCACGCGAACAAAGCCCGCGCGAATTTGTGCTCGATGAAAAGAAAGTCTCAACGAATAAGGGTTGACGGTGATACCTGTGTACAACCGAAAGAGACAGAAACAGAGAGATAAAGAGAGAGGGAGAGAGAGAGAGAAGGATAAAAAGAGGTTTTGGGATGCCACCAAAACTATATTTTACAAAGCATAAGAGAATTTCTCGCGCACGAACCACATCAAAGTTTCATACTTTCCACTAACCACTTGACCCGAATTTCCAATTGCTCGACGTCAGTCTACAATGACGTTAATGCGGTTATGCTCAGAATCCTAGAAAACAACCGCATGAGTTTGAATATTACGTTCAGATTTTCCCATTGTAGTTTCAATTCTGTTATTACGATTGAAAAATCTCGATGCATTTGAATGTACCGCTTGAACGGCGGGATTCATAAGCAATGATACGCTAGGATGATACAACATTGTCAACGAGAATCAAAGGGATGGATGGAGTCTACTCGCATAACTCGTTCGAACTAGTTTTCACGTCGTTACAAGTGCCATTTGAAATACTTGAAAGCTGTCTTATCGTTCCGACCGACTTCCGTCTCAACGGGTCGAGCATCCCGATAGACCTTGCATAGAGGTGAAACAAGAACGGCGGAATTGTTAAAGAGAAGAGGAACAAAGTATCATTATGCGGCCGTCAGAAAAAGAGAGAGAGAGGGAAAGAGAGTCGCGTTTATCCTGCTCGCTGCCAATAAAGCACTTTCGATAAGCGAACTCATCAATGAGAGTAAAGGATCAGCACGACTCGTGGGAGAGTAATAGGGAAGGATGGAGGGAGGAAGATGGGAAGAAGCGCAAGAGGGTAGTAGGTGTGCGCGCTTTATTTCGAAAGATCGGACTGAAGCTTCCCTCTTATTGATCGCACGCACGTGCTCCTCGTGCAGTCTATTCGCAGCTCGGTAAAGCCGTAAGTGGGCCATCTGGTCGGGCAATTCCAAATGAAAAAGAAGCACGAGTAGCAGTAGTAGTAGTAGTAGTAGCAGTAGTAGTAGTAGCAGTAGTAGTAGTAGTAGTAGTAGTAGTAGTAGTAGGTGGAAGAGAAAGACATAGAATGAGACGTGTAAGTAGACAACAACAAAGCTTCGCAGAGAGACAGAGAGAAACAGAGAGATAGATAGAAAGAGAAATAGAAATAAAGTAAAGAAAAAAAGAAAAGTGTTAGCGTTTAGCTCGGGGATGAATCCCTCACCTGTCAAAAAGGCAACGTCGTCCACATCTTGCTCGCTCATCGCGAACCGATTCGGCAGCGATCTCCGATAAACGAGTCCCTTTACCTGACCGTTATTCGAGGCATATGAGATTTTAATCAGGGGTTCTCTCTGTTCAGCCAGTATACTCTCCTTTCTTACTGACACCCTGGTCACCTCGTGCTCCAAGGTCAAACGATCGTTCAGGGCTGCCCTCGATTTTACCCCCAAGTTTTAAAATTCTCTTATATACTTAGGGGTTCTTGTACCTTGGGGGAGAGGGGGATCAGTGTGGTATCACTTATATGTATATATAGAGTAATTAAGCCGGATTTATCCGGAATATGGGTTGTCACCTCACGCGGCCAATGGATGGAAAGGCGCGAGTTATAGGAGGCTGCTTTAAAATATTATCACAGCGTTGTTCGTGCTCTCGTGTACGGGCGCTCGTTGTACGAGCACGAGCACGAACACGAGCACGAGCACGACGAGGGCCAACGACGACACCACCGACACCGACACGGACACGCCGACACGGAAACCCGCGAAAAAACGAGGATGCGCGAGCTCACGAATGAGTAACCGAATGTCCCGACGACGTCGCCGAGTCTATAACGTCCGACGTGCCTTGACATTTCATTGGCATTAAAGCGCGAATATAGCGACTGCGGGTGTTAGGCAGAAATGGCGGCTTTCCAAAGCACCCTGCTTGCTGCTGGTGATACTGGTGCTGCTGCTGCTGCTGCTGCTACCGGAAGAGCGCTTTTCGCGAGGGGGTGGATTCGTCGTCGTCGTCGTCGTCGTCCTTCTTCGTCTCTACCATTCTCGCGAGGGTTGGACGCGTTCTTTCACGGTGGCGCCATCGTTCAAACGTTTTCAGCAACGACAAGTGAAACGGCTTTTCTTTTACTGTTGATCCTACTGCTCTTGTCGCTGCTGTCCCTTCATTCTTTCTTTCTTTGCTTTGCTTTCCTTCTTCTATCTGTTCACCTATTGCTTGGTAAAAAAGGCTACTACACACCAAGGGTGCTTCCTTCTATTGACGATCGAGCTTCCAACCAAGACCGCACCTTCCTTTTCTCTCTCTCTCTCTCTCTCTCTCTCTCTCTCTCTCTCTCCCTTTGCCACCCTCTCTCTTTCTCTTTCTCTTTTTATGTTCTCTTTTTAACCCAACGATCGTGAATTTAATCGTATTCAGAGTGCCCCAGTAACGTACTTTCTCGTTGGATTTAATGTAGATTCTTCTTTGAAGAGTACAAACAGGCCAGGTCCATCGTCCATAACCCAACTCATATCCTCTCGTAAGGTTTTCAATTAAAATGTACTGAATAAAATTTCGCTTTAAACCAGTTAACTGTTTTTGCAACGAGTATACTTGTCACGAAAAAAGGGTAAAATTTGGTGTTATGTATATTCGTCATGAGTAATAAGTAATGACAAGTAATGCAGTTTAAATTGAAATTGTAGTTAAAACTAAAATATATATTATATTATTTCAAGATGTTTGAGATATTTGAGACTCGCCGAAATAAAAGGAACTCAAAATAAAAGTTTATAAATAATTAATATAATCCCTTTCGACTTTCACGTTGTAAGGATGGAAGGGGTTGATTCAGAAAAGACGTGCTTCAATTGCTAATAATTATTAGTATATTCTAATACTCTTTATATAGCAGATCTGTTTGGTATCTTGTTAAAAAAAAAAAAAGATGTTCTTCGCAATATAGATATTGTTTGCTTCAATTCTTTTTATATAATATAAAAATAATAAAGATGAAAATTTACGCGAATAAATTTCTTATTGGAATACATTGAACAAACAATTGCATCATATCCAATTCAAAGTGTGTAACACCGACAGTAAGTCGACAAGTTAAACCCGACTAATCTACCCTGTCTAATCGGGAAACATTTTCCGGATTATATACCCTCAACTTCAAAAGCTAATCTTACATAAAGGTGTGTGCATATTATTTTAAAAATAATATTCGAAAAGAATCGCGATATATTGATGTTCAATTTGCGAAGTTTTATTATACGTTGTATCATGATTTACTCAATACCATTCTCTAATAAAGCAAATTAAAATTTAAAAAAATCGATTTTTCATGATAGTTTTTTGTGTTTTTCGTTATATGCAAAATATTTATGTTAATTAAAGTAAATAAAAAAAATAAAATAAAATAAAATTCATTTGATTACAACCTAATTTAATATTACCATACACATACTCTGTATTTGACGAGTATACTTGTCATCGCTCAATTTGTGCGACACAGTTTAAGGAAGCATTTTTTAAAAAGGTCGAAAATTGTTTCAGTAACTGGTTAATGATACTCTCGTAGAAGTCTCTGTATGCACGAGTAAGTACCACGTCGTCTCTTTCCTTTCAATCAACTGTTAAGTTAGCAGACCGTTTACACAGCAATTCAGTGAGACGGTACTTTGACGATGAAAAAATATGTCAACGAGAAAAAAGACACTTTTTTTCTTTAAGATTTATGTTGAATTATGTAAAAAAAAATTCAATGGAGGTTAAAAAAATACTGCTTAATTTGTATAATTAATATCGTTCCTTTTAAAGGGGTTACACAATACAAAGATTGGTGCTCAGTATCATCATCCCCATTTAGGGCTCAAACTCGACCTCACAAGCCCCTCAGTATGAGGCTCAAAACGAATGACACTACTTAAAAGTTGCATCAACAAAAAATCTCTTTTAATATTCATGATTTTGTTTCAATCGAAATATTTGCAAATAATATCTTTTTTATGCAATAAGATCCTTTTATAAATCCGTATGTGATCGAACAAAATATATCGATGTAAATCTAATTCCGTCTTATTCGTAAATCTCATTGAACAATGAACTTTGCCATCTGGTATCTTGCAGCTTCATATTATATAATATTCAAATCCAATTAAACAAACTACATTACTCGTTCGTTCGTAGCTGTAGTAAAAGCGTGAAGTTAACACATGCCGAATTGAAATCGAATTTCTAAGTATAGACATAGACCATAGCCAACGAATTTTCAGCATTGGTATTCACGGTGTGATCTTCGTGTCTTGAACATAAACTGCTTCGAGCACCCGAGCAAGCAACTAGTGTTCCAACGAAATTGGCCGTTTACGTGTCTTTCCATGAAGTTCGCTTTCCGAGACCATACTTCTGTTTTGTTAGAAGGATAGAAATAAAGAAAAAGAGAAAGAGAGAGAGAGAGAGAGCAAGATAAAAAGAAAAAGAAAAAAGAAAAAGAGAAAGTGGAAGAAGAAATGGGAGAAAGAAAACGATGAGGGGATAGAAAATGAGAAGCTGTGGGAGGGGTAGGATGTTAAATCAATATAAGAAGAAGGAGCTTTTAAAGACGCGAAGTCGACCAGAGAGAGTTCTCTTAAAAGAAAAAGGAAAATAGATTTGCTTCTTTTGTCCCAAAGATCGTGATTGTGCAATCGCCAAGAGGCTCTCGAGAATTTCTGCTTAATACCAATGCAAGCCAGAACACTTCGTATCTAGTGTGCTCTATTTAATGTTCGATATAGAAAGCTAGCAAATGCTGACAATATCACTCTAAAGAGGGTTTCGAAAAGAGGTGAGAGGAGAGAAACGTTGCTTGCAGCTCTTCCCGTTTCTTCTTCTTTTTCTTTATCCTCCTCCTCCTCCTCATATTCCTCTTCCTTTTTACCCTTCTTCATTTTCTATCCTTCTCGTTTGCTCTCTGCCCCGAGGCCGCAACCTCGCGATAGTGTTCTAAGAGGGTGGTTTCTTCATAAAGCAAATGGCGAGACACGGGAAATGAAACACTCTTTTCACCGTAGTATCCTTTATTTTCAAGAAATACGACTGGTCGGTGGTCCTTGCAAATGTTATTCAACTAATCCACAGACTCTACCTACTCTTTTGTAATGACGCATCGTTGAATTTCAAGTGATAAATTGTATATTGGCTTGTATATAAAAATCGTTTTATAAAAGCGGTTTATTCACCGAGTTTCCATTACCTATTTTATATCACTGGCTAGAGAGTGTGCGTTAACGTCAATAAACTTTAATGATTTGGCAACGTAAAGGATGGAATATACGAGAGAAAAGCTTTCTACTAGATGCCAAAATTATATACATAAATCGGTACAATTGCAAAGTTTACTTCTAAGAAACGATCATACACGTATTCGCGTTTCAAAGCTATAAACTTAATCGAAGTGATTTTTCAATTATAATTTATTACGAATAATCTTTCAATTTATACACGTACTATGAATCCTAAAGAGATAAAGAATGAGAGAAAATCGTAAAATATCCAAACATTAACGATCCTGTTTTGATCTTACGTTTTTTTTTTCCTTTGCCAATCTCGCGAACCATCATAACAATCTCTTTTATGGGAATGCTTTTAAAAGGGAAAGATATTTTATGAAAATTTATCATAAGATAAATCATAATCATAATATATCAGATTTACGTTTGAAGATTATTTTTTTTTTTGTTATAAAGACAAGTCGATGATTGACGAATAATTTAGTGATTTATTAATGTCCAGATTTCAAATCAGATCGTGGTGCTGCTGTTACAGAATCGAAAGACATTTATAAACGACTGAACTTTTGAACTTGTGACCTCCTCCTCCTCCTCCTCCTCCTCTTCCTCCTTCATCTCTTTTCGCACGGTAGTTTCGTCCAGCCTACATTAGGCCCCAGCAAAAGATAACACGGATCTTGATACCCGATATAAATTATTCCCGATATTTTCTCTCTTCTTCCATTGCAGCTGAGTGCTGCTATTCCAACGTTGTAGGAAGAAGAACATTTAGTTTTCTTACGTTCCTTCTACCACATACGTTTGTTTTACGATCGCATCAGGAAAAATTGATGCTTGTTCTTAAAGGTCAATGTATCCAAAGCCAAACGACGCCTTCGGATACTTGCTTTTTATTATTCTTTCCAATAAAAAGATTATTTCTTTAACCTTGTTTCATATCACTTAATTGTTTTATCTGTGATAAATGCATTAAAGAGAAACAGAGAGAGAGAGAAATAATGATCGATTTGTTAGAAATAACGATTATATAAATCAATCTCTTTTATTATATATAAGAAGTTAAGATAGAAAGTAATCTCATGGGATCATCGAGAGTATCCATCCAATTCGGAAGGTTTATGCTCAAGCAGACAGTGTAGTAGAGCGTTAGTCACGCAAACTTTCGATTGATATATAATTGCGTTGTTGTATCATGATAATATAATTAAAAATAGTATACAATTATAATATAATAATGTAGGTAGATGAGAATGATACAGCAAGCAAAAGCAATTCGATAAATCGTAAGTAAACTTATGGTGATATTAATAAAAAAAAACAAAAGGACGTTTCGATGTTTGACTTACCTGTGATTACCGGTACTTCGGTGCTATTGGCAGTTCCATTTTGCCCGGGGCTACGCGAACTGGATGTTCTACCCAAAGGTTCCATTCGGATTACCTCGCTGCTCTCTCGTGTCGACGTTTGCCCCGGCATTCTATTCTTATCTAACGTTTTCTTATCCGTTAGAACACCTTTATTTATCCTCAATGCAGGAAGGTTCCTGCGAATTTCTTGACGATTCACATAGCTCGAACTCGATGAAGTCCACGACGACGAAGACGAAGACGTCTTCCTTGTCGTACCAGGGTCGACGTATCGACGTCTTCTTTGAGACGCGACATTTTCTCCACCCTTCCATTTAGGACGAGCTCTATCAACGATAGCTACCGAACGATCCACTTTTCCTTCTATTATTTATATCTTAGTATTAGAAACAAAAAACTCTTCTTTCGAGAGAAGAAGAAGATTTTGGACCTTGATCCCTGATAGGGTTTAAATTCGAGATACCTTCTTTTTTGGCACCAGTGTAAAATGTTACAAAATTTGGCTAGTTTTGAACAGTCTTTGATAATTACACGTAATAGAATAACTTAGAAAAAGGTCTTCTAATAAAACTATTATTTACTTTCGTCTTTAGAAATTTTTGCTTCAACGTTTTTTCTTTTTTTTTTTTTCCCCCTTTTTACTTCGTGGTCCGCGAAAAAGAAATGTCGTCGATTCTGCTTGACGATGAAAATTGATTACGAGTCATTACGCATTTTTATTCTTTTACTCTTTAAGTCTGACTAATTTTATGTGATTTCACTTGACGATATTCTTTTTTCTTCCTTTCTTTCATCGCGTACCCATCATCATCATCATCATTATCATCATGATCGTCATTAACGTCATCGTCACCGTAGTTGTCATAGTCGTTCTCTTAACAGTCGTAGTCGTTTTCGTCGTAGTCGTTCTTCCTGTTGTTGTCACTAGCTTTCCTACTGTTATCATCCTCGTCGTACTCGTCTTCGGTGTCGTTGCATCGTTAATTAACTGGAGCACCGGTATACGCATCGTATGGTAGAACGTTTTCTTGCCTCTAAGCTAGTTTTGCCCTCGTTACGCCTGAAACAAAATTGAAAAGGCCGACTACTCTTGTGTGACGATTAATTAAGCGTTGAAGTTAAAGTAGCGTGCACGTGTAAGCACAACCTACCGTCAATCCGGTCTGTTGTTGCGTACTGTTTTAAAAGGGTATTCATTGGATAGGTGAAAACAAAAATAACATAGGAAATTCTTTAAATATGATCGATTATCTATCATCTTTTTTTTACTTCACTCTTCCTTCACTGTTCTTCTAATATTATTTATCTTACTTTGACATACTACTATCATCTCTCTTACTAACGAAAATCTATTTCAATTGAAATACCAATTACTATAAATGTTACTAACACGAGATATCTTTCTTTATTCACTATTTTATACGAATTTCAACCTATTTTTATAAAGATATACATTAATATATGATTTATAGTATCGATCTAATGTTTGAGTACACCTACAGTATTTGCATTACATACTTAAAGCTTAGGTCTTCATTTTTATTTTTACAGATTTTTCGGTTAACTTTATTATTATGGACATTTATTAGATTGCTAGCTTCTGCAGCAACCAATATTGTTTATAATAACATATTACGACATTTTAAGAAGTAATGATATTAGTACATTGTTTACCTTGGTAACGATTAAACATAAATAATACGGTAAGAAAGGAACAGTTTGAATGAATGTCTATCCAAGCTTATGTGTGTGATTGGTACATACATACATTAAATTATATTAAATTATACACGTAAATATTTAAGCTCGAAATTAATTCGTTATTTTTTTTTTTTTTTCATAGAAATTCGATTTACCTCCCTTATCGAATATTTTTTACAATACTTAACTTTAAGCCTTTGACATTTGATATCCATTATAAGTAACAACGTATTCTTAAGAAGCATTACACGTGGATAAAGTTATCATGAACTTTCATTAGTTCAGTATCGAATTCACTACGACCCCCTTTTTATTCCGATAATGGCGACACGCGAAACCGATTACAGATTTTCTACATCGTAAAATCAAGTAACACGATTTATCGTCGTCGTCGTCGTCGTCGTCAACCGTATAATTGCATATATTATTTTCAAGTATAAAAAAAAAAAAAGAAGAGAGAGAGAGAAAAAAAAATGTAATCGAAGAAGAATTACATGTTACAAAATCGTCACTTGTTCCAGCAGTCAATATCGTATCGAGGTGAAATTTTCTCTCGTTTATGATATCCGCTTGAATACAGGCTTGACAATCGATTTTCGAAGGCTTACGCGAGTTAATACGAACTCGATAGAGAGAAAAAAAAATGAGAAAGAGAGAGAGAGAAAGAGAGGAAAGACTGAGAGAGACTTTAGCATCAATCGACGAAATTTTTGATAAGAATCATCACTGTTACCGATCATATTAACTTTTTTTTCTATTACCTCGAAAAGAAATGATCTTTTCATTTTTGTTTTTTTGTTTTTTTAAACTACACACACACACACATCATCGAGTTTATTTATATTATAAAAAATATATAAATATTTATTTGAAACTATCGTATAACTTTTGATTGCAATATTAATAGTGAAGACACCAAACTACTCTGAAAATTATTTGGTAAAGGATATATTCAGGGAATATCGATTTTAGCGCGACATAACTATGGTTACGCGCGAGTGAACGTTTTCAACCCCCCATGCTAGGAAAACGAGAAACAAAATCAAATAGAAGATTGCACTGAACGCAGAGAAAAAGAAAGAGAGAGAGAGAAGTCATATTTTTTTTATTTTTATTATATTTCTTTTTTCTATTGGTGATCGACAGACTGTACCCAAAAGCTTTTCGTCTGCTCGAAATGACACGCGAATTTACGGCGCGCATACAAATCTTTTTTCCTTTTTCCCCACATTTACAAAAAATAACAAAAAGTAAACCGTTAATTATAAATACTTTTATATGTTATATTCAACTTGTGAGTATTATACTGTATTAGTAAGTTGTAATTAATTTAATAATGTTTTCGAATCATGAACACATGAATTATATCCTTCAGTGTTATACAACTATTGTTATTATATTTAAATATAATACGTCTATTATTTTATAAACGTGACAGATAAGATACGAGATAATTAGATCAATTTTGTATTATTTTCTTCTTCATTTGTTCAACAAAGAAGAAAAAGTACAACAATTTGCGTTATCTCGACATGAGTTATTATAACGTAAAATAAATTAATGTTACGTAAAAATTATTCATAGTTTTATCACAAACATTGGAAATACTTTAAACAAAATAAAAAAAAAATAATATAACTCGTGGAATATTAGAATAAAATGAAAAGATTTATTTTTCTAATTTATTTGTTGATATTTAAAGATGTTCGTATTATAACGAACAACTGTCTGTTTCCATAGAAGTCCCGACACATCCGAAGACGATGATACAATTAGGTGAATTCGCGGTAACTTTGACGTACACTTTAAACGTAACCTTAATCACAGTGGTCACCGTCACAAATTTCGTTTCATCAGTGTCACAGTAATCTTACACTTACGTGTTCTTAAACAGAGTCATTTCGAGATCGTTTTTTTTTTTGTGTAAGTGCATTACGCAACTTGATAAAATCTTTCTACGTATGATCAAAATCAAGGACATTAGACATCATTTTTACTTTAAATAGCGCGCTTCGAATATCATTAAGTTAATACAAAGTTTCTCGTTGTCGTAAATAGTGTCGTTATGTAATCGCATAGTGTACGTTATATAATAAAAAAGAAACAAAAGAATCATGTCAAATCTTTTCGTCGCATAAGTGTAAGTGAAAAAGAAAAATAATAATAATAATAATAATTTATTATAAATAAATTATTATCATTATTAGAAAGAATATAAAATATATATATATATATATATAGAAAAAAATGATAAAATAATAAATTTCGTTAAAGTGTTCGATTTGCTGGTAAAATTGCATTAACTTGTTATCGAAATTACAAAGTAAATTCAATTTCCATGATCTCGAGGTTAATGAAACATTAACGAAGCATTTTTTAATTAGCGAATTATTTCCGAGTTCTAAAAAAAAAAAAAAAAAAACAATCAAAAATAAATTAAATACAATTAGTAAAGATTTGTACAAGTAATGATACGTTAGGGTGGAAAATATTTCGTAACGTTTAACATTCTGTCTGACCATCTCATTGATTTGATCTACTGAGAAGACAAAAATTGAACAAATTCTTTCTTCGGCGAGAATTCAAATGGTCGTTTCGTTTGATGAAATTTTTGGAAAAAAAAACAAATCAAATGATAAATTGTATTTCGTCGTTCCGCGTTAAATTCCTTATTGTTAAAAAAAAAAACACACACACACATAAACGCACCTGGTGCGCTCATGGTGCGTACAACGAACGTTTCTCGCGATGGAGCATTGACCCTGCCCTGTCTCCCGCGCCTAAAACTCGAGCTGAAAGAAAAAAGAAAAAAGAAACAACGAAAAAATTACATCGAACAATGTGTCCTTTTTATATACGATGATTTCAAACCCTTTATAATTCGAGGAGAAGAACAAAAGAAAAGAAAAGCAAAAAAGCTCACGTTCTCAAAGGGTGAAAATAAAAAGGATAAAGAAGACAAAAAATGACACACAAATTTACGTAATAAAACGTTGTATAAATGAATGTTGTATAAAAAGAATAAAAACTCACCTGTTTCACTGAGAATTTCCCCAAACCCGACCGGCAAGCAACAGGAAGAGTAGTTGATCTTCGACGAATTGGCACTGTCTATATATATATATATATTACTTTCCACCACTGTTATTATTCATCTACTATCACGAATAATAATACAAAAGCGTAGATAATAATATTACTCGATAATAATTTAAAGAACACGAGCTCATCGTTTTCATTAGTATCATATAATTTTATTAATAATTAGACGCGCTAAATTGGACGGATTAACGTTACGGACGTTAGAAGAAGGAACAAACCGTAAGAAAATAAACGAAAATGAATAAGAACAAATAATTCAACGAGAGGATACCAAAAAAATGGAGATAAGAAAAATAATTGTATCGAAATATATGTACATATATATATATATGAATATATATGTATATATATATATATATACGTGAGTAGTTAAATAAGAAAGACAAAAATTGATAATATTAATATTATCGAGTATTATAAGCTTATGCTTGTCTCTATTCTCTTTTCCTTTTCTATTCTGATGACGATTCTGACACAAGGACGTGTATAAACGGAGGAACCTTTTTCCCGATGTCCTCGAGGAAAACGGCGTCGAGCACAGCCGTGGTTCGAATGGAACTGAAGGGAGCGAGATAGAACGTTTGAGAATTGAGCGTGGCTGAATTTCCGGACGCAGGGAGGCGCGCCGGTCAGTATCAGCCACAGGTTGCGCTTCTCTCGTTCACGCAGGCCAGGCATCTTCGCGGCCTGATCCTTCGAAAGGGAAGGGTTGGTATGTGCGCCCGAAGCCCTTCCAATCTCGCTAGATCGAGACTCTCGCACCCGACTGAAAACCTACCCCTTCCTTCTACTTGCCCTTTCTCCCATCCTATTCCTTGCCTTTCCTTTCCCTTCCTATTTCTTCTCTTTCCTTCCCTGTCCTACCCCTACCTTACACTCACACACACGTATTCACCTCAACGACCCTCCCAACGACCATGAGAAATTCTTCGATCGGTTTTTCGTCTTCACGCTCTCCCGTATTATCGACTTTTTCAACTCTACCGGTTTTCATTTCTTTTTTTATAAAACCTTTATCGGTTCGTCTCATTAAAAACTGAAGATTAAATTTCTATACAACCACCAATGGTAATTATTTCGATATCGAAATCGATCTACATTTTATACTGTTTTTATTACAGGTTACGATCGATAGATTAAAAGTTAGTTTAGTTTTAAGAAATAAGAATGAAATAAAATCGATCATTTTTTTTTTGTTTGCTTTTATAATTTATGTAAATCATTCAATTTTTATATGGTATATAGAACACACACACACACTGTATTGTGTAAAATAAGTTTCAGTAAACATTGATCAAAATGTAAACCGTTTCTGAAACATAAACATTTTTGTTTGCTAGTATCATGATTGACTTACCACTCGCCACTTTGAAGGCGAATTTCGAAAAGAACGGTGCATAGATCTCATAATACTCCGAGTTTTTATTGTCAATAAAAATAAACACTTCCATCGAATAATTAACAATTATTTTAATATTCTAATACACTCTACTTACATTACAGGAAAATTGTACCCTCGAAGTCATCACTGTGCAGGAATGATAACATAATTACATTAAAATGCAAACAATGTTAAAATTCAAACGTTCTAATTATACATTTTCTTTATTAGGAATATTTTGACCGTTGCACACACGCGCAACATTCGGATAATCATATAAACAACATTTTAATAAAAGTATTTTCATAGAGAACAACGTGCCAGTCTGAAGGTGAATTTCGAGGAGAACGGTATACATCAAACTTATATTCCGTGCTTTTAGACTAAAACATAGATTTCTTTCCATTAATTAACAATTATTTTAATACGAATTATATACATTTGACTTATTATTAAATATTTGATATTTTACAGAAGATTTTTCACGTCTTTACCTTCCATTTCTACACACACTTAACATCTTCTTTTTTCAGAATTGCGAACTCTTTCGCAAATTCCACATTTCTTTCGCTGATATTTTTATGATACTTTATAAATGTGTATTATCTACAATCGCCAATCTACAACTGACTGATTATCAATGAAATTTTTTATCGATAGTTGAATAAGACATTCATAAAACATTTTCAAAATACTAATGTTAACATCGCATGCGATTTAAGTAAGTAAATTCAATCATGATATTAGCAAACAAAAATGCTTAGATCACAGAAACGATTTTTTCTACTCATGTCAGTACAATGTATCCTATATATACTATATAAATATTGAAGGTTTTTTTTTTTAACATTTAGCCGACCGAACGCCTCTCACAGAGACTTTTACAGTTTCCACTGTGCTCGGGAAAGGCCAAACTGCGCTTTCTAGTAGTGTTTTAAAAAATCATTTGATGGCTGGCAAAGACTCCATCGGAAATCCCCAAAATAAAGAGCCGTAATAATGAGCAATAAAAAATTTCAAAAATTGATGCATTTTATTATATGTTGTACCCCATATAAATAAGCTCTATAGAGAAAGAAGCGTTTCTCAGATGAAAAGGGTAGATCTACCTGAGTGGTCAGCTAAGTGTTAACATTCTGTGTTATAATACGTATGATTCATACTTGATTTAGTAGATTTTACCTTAAAAAAATTTTAGACTGCTATACCATACATTAAAATAGACGTATTAAAGATACGTATATATATATATATATATATATATATATATGTTTATAGATACGTTATCTTTCTTTTCGATAAGTCATATTTGTTTTAGTAGAGTTTACCTTAAAGGAATCTTAGACTGCTATATCATACATTAAAATGGACTCGGTGAGTTATTAAAGTGTTAAAAGTTAAACCCAAATTTGTTGAATCTTTTTATTAAAATGTTATTCATTGATTTGTAAGATGTCATTTCATGGTGGTGTTTCTTCGACGATCCTTTTTGAAGGATGGCGAACTACCGATTGGATTGGCATGGGTTGGTCTATGGTGGGAATTGTTTTATTAACTATGATTTACGAAGGAATTAAAAGTTATCGGTAAGTCACGTGATATATATATTATTTCGTAATATTTTTGAAAATGATTATTGTTATATAAAAAAGAAGAAGAAGAAGAAAAAAAAATAAAGAAGAAGAAGAAACATTGTTCATCTTTCTTATTATTTATAGCGATCATCTTTTTACTTCTACAGCTTTAGAAAGTAAAAAAATAAAGAGAACGAGAAGGTAAATAATTAACAATTATTATCATTCTTTATATGATCACAATAAATGCTTTTTATTTTAGGCAAATGATGTTTTCCGCGATACATTTAACTCAAGTGATATTACACGTTATCCAAATGATAATAGGATATTTCTTAATGTTAATATTTATGACTTATAACGTTTGGTTGTGCATTGCTATGGTAATTGGAACAGGACTCGGTTATTGGCTTTTCTCTTGGCAAAAATTAGACAGTGAAAATTTAGATTGTTGCTCGTAATGAAAAAATAGTTTTATAATTGCCAAGATCATTTTATAATTATATATATATATTATTTCTAATTAATAATTTGTTTTTTTTTTAATAATAAATCTTAATGTTGTAACATTATGAATAGAACCTTTAATGAAAGTAATGATAACAACATAATAATAATAATAATAATAATAATAATAATAATAATAATAATAATGTAATTATATATTATACACACGTAACATGAATATTGTTTTTTTTTTTTTTTTTATAAAAATGAATTCATATATATTTAAAAAAAAAAAAAAAAGATATAATTTAAAGATCAAATTAACGATAGAATCATAAGTAAGTAACAATTCATATACTGTTTAAATATTAATATTATATTGTACAAAAATTAGTAATATATATATATATATATATATTAATTAATTAATTTAATTTTGAAAAATGTGTAACGTGTTGTTCAGTTATATTCGCTATTATAAATAAAATAATGTAAAATTTAATAATTGATTAATCTTATCAATCTTCGTTATCTTATCAGACTTGTTTCTTATTTAAAAAATGACGAGATCTTCCTTTGATCATTATCAAAACGAGTTTATTATCAAAATATCCAATAATTTGATATTACTCGTACTCATATGACATTTCTTATTTGAAACTCGAACTTAGAAGAAGAAGAAGAAATGGCTGACGATAAATCTGTGGAGAATAATAATCATCGTCATAGTATTGTCGATGATCATTATCGAAATGTCAAATCAACGAGACAAATCATTTTCGGCTGGGACAGTTTTAATTTGATATCATTCCTTATACTAATCGTATTTTTCATCATTTGGTGTTTGGCATATTTCTTAAATTATGTACCGGGTAAAAAACAAAACGCTCACATGGGTGGTACAGGTGATGGTGGACATGTTGGACATATTGGACATATGAACTATGAATATTAAAGGTGAAAAATGAGAGAGACAAGAATAATGACGAAACTTGACGAAGACTAAAATAAGATAATCCATTTCGTGAACCCCTATAATGTAAGTATCATTTTTCTAAAGTTTTAAGAACACACATCTCTAGATAAAATATTAAAAAGTTTCAGTTCAAGATAGATATTGACTTTCATAACAATTCATTCTCATCTAATTTTTATATATATATATATTTTTTTCTTCTTTTATTTCAGATAATAATACTTAACACGTTCACGCCGGCGCGTACCACCGGTGGCCCGCACTAGACTGTCTCTTCGGACGGCTTGTACCACCGGTGGCTCGCGCTAGACTGTCCCATCGGGCGGCGCGTACCACCGGTGGTCCACATTGGTCTAGGTTTGAACAAGCAAAAATCACGCGCCGCCAGATGAAACGCATCTTAGATTCGAGTGCCGCCCCACAGCGCAGACACTGAAAATCAGCGCCGGCGTCAACGTGTTAATCATTCAGTGTTCAATATAGCCAACGTGTGTGTAATAATAATTATTAATAAAACTAAACAATATACTGTAACCTATTATAATATCTTACATATTGTCATAAGTCGTTTCATAGAAAAAAAAAATATTAAAAATAAAGAAAAGTTGTATTTATAGATTAGGCTGTTTCTCGATGCGGAAACGAATTGTTTTCTATCTTTGAATCTTTTTCAAACAATACGATCGTTCTTTATCGATATACGAAGAGAAAACTCTTGTTATCGGTTAAATCTAGAACAACGTTGTGAATTTCAAGGAGTTGAGAGATTGGAGAAGGCATCCTCGTTAGCCTCGATAACGAGACGGTTTAATCATCTGTTCGATGAGATAAAAATAGAAAAAGAGAGAGAGAGAGAGAGCTTTTCTTACCACAAAGCAATTCGTCCTATTAAAGAATCAAAGTCGAATGAGAAAAACGAACGAACGATCGAACGAATTTACGTTTGGTTATCAAATCAAATACATAAATGTGCATGCACATGTCTTCTTATGGGGATTAATCATTTCATTATTATTACGTTAAAAAATATCGTTGTTGTTTACATGAGAACATGAAAAAGTATCGTAGAATAAAAGAAAGATAGATAGATAGAGAGAGAGAGAGAGAGAGAGAGAGGGTGAGTGAGAGAGGGAGAAGGGAAGAAATAATTATACATAACCATTGAGGATCATCATCCAGGAATTTCTTTCAATGGCTTACGGGCGAGGGAGGACAAAGAACGCAAAAGTAGGAGACCGACAGAAAGAGTCATTATGCTCGACGTGCCTACGAGAGAAGAAAATCTCGCGTAATTTTGCGTTGGAGGATTTGCGGGTGAAAGGATTGGTATAGTTTGTAGGGAAAGAAGAAGAAGAAGAAGAAAAAAAAAACAAAGAAATCGTCTCTTCGTTGTCCAATTCAAAGAGTAAGAGAGAAAGAGAGAAAGAAATAAAAGGAAGGAGAAAAACAAGAGGTAGAAGCCAATGATAATCAAGAATACAAACGATTCTTAAAAATATGACCTTATTTATGTAAAGCAAATACTAACTTACGTCTCTCTATTCGAATTCGTTGAATTTTTCTTTTTCTCTTTGTTTTTTTTTTGGTATATATCGTATCTTGTGTATTTAGTTCGTGCTATTTCAAAACGAACCCGGAAATATTTGAAACGGGAATGTTCGTCTCGGATGTTTTACGTTGCCGCCATGCTTTCTGAAAAATGCATGACACTGTGACTGTGTGAGCACACAGAATTGAAAGAAAAAGGACGAAATGTAGATACATTGCACTTTCCTCTTACTCTCTCTCTCTCTCTTTCTCTCTCTCATATGTGACTTTACACAACGTTCTCGCGTCCCCAGAGACAAGATTGTTGGGCAAACGTCAGAGAGAAAACACACTTACTTGTATAGATACACACATAGACACGATTTTTAATACGCCTCTTGCGAAACTGGCTCGGTCGTTCGTTCGTTCGTTCGTTCGCAGAATTTTATCAGCCGACTCGGATCTTCTTCTTCTTCTTCTTCTTCTTCTTCCTCCTCCTCTTCCTCCTCTTCCTCTTCCTCTACGCGATCAACGAGAAACCCCGAGTATTGCTTTTGGGAATTACCGATTCTCAGAGGGATTTCACTGAAGGCCCTCTTTCTCTTTCTCTTTCTCATTCTCTTGAATTTTCTTTCTCTCTTTTTCTACAAAGAGAAAATGACTACGAGAGAAAAAGGAGGACTAGAAAGACATCGTAGAGGGATATTCCCGAAAAGTTAAAACGATGGAAAAAGCATTTTCACGTTTGTACTTGCGATCTTTCAGACCGTCACGATGAGAAACGTATCTGTCATTGGTCGCTTTTTTTTTCTTTTTTTTCTTTTTTTTTTTTTTCTATGACATTTATAGTCGACGTAAAATGACCTTATTTTTATTTTTCAAAGGAGGAGAAAAAAAAGAAGAGAATAAGAGATTAAAAAAAGTATGAATTTTTGAAACTGTTCGAAACGTTATCTTCGTAAATATTTTCTAGGTTGCTTTATAATAAAAAAAAAAAAAAAAAAATAAAACAACAAGGAATAATATAAAAAAAAAAATATAATTTTTTACAATATATTTATACATGAAACACACAAAAGAAACTTTTTTTATAAACAGAATAAATTGTCTATTATGATTAAATTATAAAATTAGTAAATTTGTTTGAAATCAAACAAAATCTTATCGCGCAATTTGTAATGATCGTTTTGACGCAACATTGAGATTAAGAAAGATATCAAGTAAAGACGGGACAGACACATTAACAATGGTGATTCGTATTCGACAATTTATTACCTTGCTAGGAAAGCGGTCAATGACAACGACGACAAGGAGAACTACGACGACAGGAAGACGCCGAGAAGGATCGTAGAAAGGATATGGTACTTTCAAGGAAGGTACAATTGTCGGCAATTAATTCACGTTATCGGAACAACGTTTATTCGTTGTTCGTGTCATCGTAACGTTTTACATATGTATATGTATATATATATATATGTATATGTACGAATTGAATCTTTCATGAAAGACAAAGAACATAGCTCGTCCTGTAAAACGTTTTGGTCAATCGATCGTCCTTAAATGTTATATCCTCTTTTAACACCCTCGAGGAGTTAGTTAATGGTACGTGCATATCGACGTATATCAAGGATTAGTTTCTAAAAACTAGAAAAATATACGTCTTCGAGTTCTTGATATATGAGACGAGATAACTCAATGATATTAGGTAAGAGAGAAAAACATATTATAATAATAACTTTATTGAAATAATTTGTTCGATCATTGTTTCGCTTTAATTATTTTCTAATTAATGTTAAGCTAAGAATAAATCTTGATTATTTTTGTCCTCAATATATATTGTCCAATATATTTTGTTATTTTTCTTTCTTCTCTTTGTCTTATCCATTCAAGTCGCCTAAGGCAACCCTTGTGCATCAGCAAGTACCTTTTACAAGATAATCCATAGAGAGATTGAGGCTCCATGGCTTTTGCATTTGTTCTCTCTTTCTCTTCTCATTTTCCGTGTTCATTTTGTTATATTTCTTTTGAATAAATTATTTGTTAAGAAAAAATAAATATAGAAGTAAAGTCTTAACTCATGGGTTTTCAAACACAATAACCTCCTTGTAATGAGACCAGGGTCGGTATTGCTCATGATCTATCCAAATGTAATTGTAAATTATGTAACGCAAGTATTATCGGACAAATGACTGTGCTAAATTCAATCTACATTTATTTACATGTTTAAGTAGGGAGTAGGATGAAATAAATATTGAAAATGTACGTATACAAAATATTTATAATAATTTTCATTTTCGAGTATAGTATAAATGTACAGAAAAAAAAATTACTGATTTAATAAATCAATAAAATGTTACCACCATTAAAATCTTTCAATTACAGATCTATTTTCTTTCTTATTCGTTTGTACACAGTTTAGTCTAAGCTTTGTAATTTATCCTTGGAAAAGGGCCCCACTCAAATGTGCCACTTCATACGTGTTGTAAAGTTACCAACCACTTTCATTCCCGTAACTTTCAACGTTACGCCCGAATGACAGGTGTTTACCAATGCAATTGACATTCATCAAAACGAATGGTGATGCGTCCAGCCCATGGCACATAGGATAATCGATCTTCACTTGCGAAATGCTTTCTCTTCTACTTTAGAGAGGTTGTTCCCTATCAATCAACATTATCACCTTTCGATTTTGATATATACTCCTGATATTGTATACATTTACGATACTAAAAACTCACGTTTAAATCTTTTCAGTTGAATGTTTGTGTAAAAAAAAAAAAAGGATCTTTTTCCATCCATTTTATTTCTATTCACTAAATGTATTTCTTATCAAACATATTTCTATGAAATGATGCTGCATATATATCTATAAGTAGTTATCTCTTAAAAGATTCTTTCTCATGGGTAAAATTCGTTCTCCAACGAAAGTAGCAGACTAGACATTTAGACAAACGATTGCACATTCACTTTCTCATATAAAAATATGAAAAAAAAAAAAAAAATAGATATACGATATAAACTCTTAATATTGAAACATGTCGTGGAATCGAATCGAATAATCAAGGGAATGGTAGTGTATGTATCCTGGCATTCCTTAAACAGTAGATACATATGAGAGAGTAAGGGCAGGTCGATACCAAGCTCTGGGATACTATGATGTGCACTGTAAAGCAACTTTATATACGACGCTTGCGTTATTCGATATATATTCACTGAACAGTAATTAAAAGCTCTCTGCGAGGGATAAAACTTAATGAAATCGACAGAGTAGAGATAATTAAAATTGTACCGGTTGGCAGACTCGGTTACGATTTGAAAGTCGTTCTATCTTTATAATCATGATACTGATATCAAATTGGATTGAAATTGTACAAAATCAATTTAAACGACCGTATGATTTTCAAATGTCATTTTATAATGTCATTTTCGTCTTAAAATTAAGATAATAACAATTGATCCATGTATTTGTACTTTTTTTCTTTCTTTTATTTTACCGTACATCGAACTTTCAATCTTTCAATCGGAGAGATCAAAAGATCAAAGGGACGACGTACAAGAAGAATTCTCGTATTTCTATGGATCGTCTACTAATCACTCTACGAATTGTCTTCGTCCGTTGTTCTATCCGGACATCATTCTGTGTAGTTGGTGCATCTAGGTAAGCGAATGTTTAAACGTATGCGACCGGTCGATACCAGCGTCGTCGTCGGCTGCTGGTAAGCCATGTATCACCCTTTTACTCCAACCCACCTCTTCGAAGCACCCACCTAATAATACGTTAGACAAGTAGCTCGTACCCTGTTGCTTAGATGAACCAATCTTTCTCCTACCTCTACGTCCTCGTAATCGGACAGTTAACGAGACACCAGACTAATCGCATGCGACATCATCCCCTAGTTTAACTTATAATCGGCCATTATTTTCTTTTTTCTCTCTTTATTTAAGCATCGATATTTGTCATTGTTTGCATCTATTATTCATGCAAAACAATCGTATGATTGATCAAAGGATGAGTTTTGTTTAATCTTCTCAAGTTTTTGTTCATCATCTTGTTAATATGAAAAGATTTTCAGCTATGTTGAACTCAACATCGCGACTAATGTTTATTACGTACGCAAAAGAAATAAATAGAACATGATATCTTTCCGATTAAAACAAAAAAAACATTTCTTTTTTTTCTAGTTTGTCGATCTTATACTTCTTGCTGGTAGATATAACGTTTGACAATGTGTGTCACTATCCGATAGTAAGTTTCAAGTATCTAAAATAAGTAATAATATGAAATAATAAATCAAAATGAATAAAGTAATCTGAAAGAAATTGCATTGTAATTTATTTTCAAATAGAAAGGAAAAATGAAACGATCATAAATAGAAATCTACTTTACCGATGGTTGGTAGAATTATCAGTCAATTATCTATATTAGAAAGATATTTTTTATTGTCATTAAATAAAATGATTCTGTCATTATCAAGAGTCGGTAAAATAGAAATTTATTATATTTATCAATCGATAAAATATAATCTTTGCTTACGGATTAATAATTGAATATTACGTGTTTAATTTAATTTTGATCAATTATTGAATGAATTACATTCGGTTTTTGCATCTTTTGTGATTATAATTAAATATACCATTATAATATTACCATTGTTTCAAATCAAATTCATTCATTTGTTTTTTTTTTATTTATTTCATTCACAAATCTTAGACTTTAAAACTTCGAAATGTGCTGAAATCTTTCGAAAAAGAAAAACACTTTTCTATCATAGGAGATTCGAACACTAGCCGTATTATATTCGCAATTAAAAATATTGACATTTTAGCTATGACATGAAATTAAATTTCATCACTACATATATAGACACATATATACATACATACAACTAATGAAAGGTAAAACTGTCGCATGGGAAGGAACCCCCACTCCACGATTATTACTCTGCAGTTAGTCAGCGCCATCTGGATTTTTTGATCGCATAATTTTAAAATCAATAAACACATAATCTTATAAATAAGACAGAAACTATTCATTAGTGACCATATAATTACATATCTTAATTATATAGTGATAATATAAATGTAATCTTAAATTTATAATCATAAGTAAACATAAGAGAATGAATTTGTTATCTTTGAATTGTTTTCTCATTGATAATGTATGTCTTGTCTATGCACCAGCATTACTTTTGATCAATGTGTTTCTATTGTAAAGATCATATGTACATAATAATGAAATACTGAAAATGAAATAGAAGTGATAAGTTTTAAAAGTTCTACCTGTACATATATGTTATTGAGTGGACAGTGATCGCGAGGACATCTTTATAGCGTCTATGAGTTATTGTAATCATCATGGCTTCAACGGGTTAGTGTTTAGTAAAAATTGATGTCTATGTTATTTAGTAAACATCATTTGAAATTAGACAGATTTTTCCATAACGTTGTTAGATTTTACTTTTTGTGTAATGTACAAGCTTATAATTGATTTTTGGCATGCAAGTAACATAACTATTTCACCTTCGTATGTCAAGTGTTTTTTTTTTGACATTTCACATTTGTCTTTTATCATTTTCCTTTAATTATAACGCTTATTAAAAATAATATTTTAAACTTTAGAATCCTTGGTATGCGATACGCTTGATTTAAGCGGTCAAAATCTTAAGAAGCTTGCTCGATGTCCATCGGATGCTGAAATCAGTACTTTAATCTTAGATGATAATGAGCTTCAACGTCTTGATAATCTTGACTCATATCACAGAATTAATAAGGTATTCATTATTGCTTTAATTAAATGTTTACGATAATACCTAGATGCATTGTATAGTAAGTAATTCTTTTGATATCTTTTTGCTATAAGCATTATTATTGGGTATAGCAAATGTGAATTAATCTTATACATAATACATAATTACTGTAACGTTAACCAATTTCAGCTTTCAATAGTAAGAAACCAATTACTACGAATGTATGGCGTATCCAAATTACATAATCTTGTAACGCTTAATTTAGCTAATAATGGTATATTAACGATAGAGGGTATCAAAGAAATGATTAACTTACAAACATTGTGTTTAGCAGGTAATAATATAAAGGTAAGTAAGCTCGTGTCAAATAAATGTATATTATGTTCTAACTTGTAAAATAATAATAATATTAATAATAATATTAATGCAACGCTTTCAGTCTATTGAACATTTACATTCAAATACGAAGTTGGAACATCTAGACTTATCTGAAAATAGTATCAGTCACATTTCTGATATTTCATATTTGCGTAATCTTAAGGTATACAAATTTAACTACTCGATGTCTTCTTAATCTTTCTTTGTTTTTTGTTTTTTTTTTTTAATCATGTCCGTTCGCATGCATTTTTCTTTTCTTTGTTTTCTTCTTATTATTATATTTGTTTATGTTTTAGGAACTTTTCTTGCATAATAATCGCATAATCACGTTAAGGCAATGCGAGCGCTATTTACCTACCTCATTAGAAACATTTACATTAGCAAATAACAGCATTACAGATTTGAATGAAATGTCTCATTTAGCTAATTTAAAGAATTTGGTCAACTTTTCAATTGCTAATAATCCGTGTGTCAGTATAACAGGTAATAGTATGTATCCTTTCAATAGCATTATAATTTTGCCTTATTTATCAATCGACACTTAGTTTTAATCGAGTTTTATTTGTATGTGATTAAATTCCTCACATTATTTCTTGATGTCATTTATAATTCTTAGAATTCTAATGAAATTTATAACAATATATATATATATATATATTATCCAAGAGCGCTAGATGCAAGTAAAACATAAATGCTGCTTTTAGTATTTAAATAAATAGCATATTATTCTTAACACATAGTTTATAGTGGATTCGATTATCGTCCATTTGTTATCAATTGGTGTATGAGTCTCAAATCAATTGATGGTTATGCAGTGGATCCTTTAGAAAGGTAGGTATATTTAGAAATACAGATACATTTGACACATTAGTTAATCAAATATTAAGTACAAATATTATATTAAATAATTAATTATTTAATGGAAATCATTTTGACATAGTTTGAAAGCAGAATGGCTGTATTCTCAAGGAAGAGGAAGACAATTTCGTGTCGGTGAGCATGCACTTCTTGCTCAGTATTTAGCATCCGTCTGTCCCCTTTCAGGGGAATCTTTAGAGAATGATACTGACAGGAAACTTAGGCTAATTTTGAGTAAAGCACAACATCATCAGCAACAACTCAGTCAACAGAGTGACACAGGAAGTGTACATAGCTTAAGTAGCGTCGGAGTAACTCCTTCTCCTGCTGCTAGACGTAGACTTAATCATAACAGGACAAGTTCTCCAAGAAGGCCTAGTGAGTTTTTATCACATTGTCTCTTATTACTTTTATTATATTATATTATATGCAAAATTCACCTTTTTTCTTCGTTAACAATTATTAGGATTTGCTAAGCTATCTTTAATTTATAATAGTAGGATGCAACCATAGCAATAATATGTACGTACGTCCTTAGTCATAATCTGTTTTCTCTAGTTACACCAATGTTGACATACTATGAAGATAAATGCTTACAATCACCAAAATTTTATGAGGCTAAATACTGTGTCTGCCATTCACCTTGCAAAGGTACCCTAAGTCAAAGAGCAGATTTTAATTTATATATATATATATATCTATGGTTACGTGATAGATGTGTGTAGGAATTATTCAAGTGATAGATTAGAAATCATTTCTATTAACAAATATATTAAAATTTGATTCAAACGTTAATCATTTTAATTGATATCAATGACAATATAATTACAACTTTAATAAAAATTTACCAAGGTTAGGCTTACTTACATTTACTTTCAATATAATAATTCAATATTATTTATTAAATTTAAAAAAAAAATTATTTATTATCAAATAATTTTCCAGTTTTGTTTTTTTTTTTCCCCCATCCTACACACATCCGTATCTTTCAAGCATAGTATTTTTTAAGCAATTGCTTTTTTTAAGCTTATAGAGCAAATGAATTTGGTGAATGAAAGCAAAGACAATGTTGTAAGCTATCTAGGTGCATTTAACAGTATAAAAAAATCAATATTTGATATATTTCAACATTCTATCTAAATTGTTTCATTTTAGTGCCTCAAATTAAAATTACTAATCGTGGTTTCATTTGCACGCTTTTGTTAGCAATTGATAACAATTGTTAGTTGTACATTATACGAATGTATTTATTATATTTGTAGCTCATACTATACATTCCTAACATCGTTACATTTTATTAGATTCATCAAGAAATTCTATAAGAATGAGGTCACCAGATAGAATGGTTTCCAGTTGCCATACAGATGCTATGGTTTCTTCCTGTCATCCTATGTTTAGTAATGATCACGAATCATTGATGACACAAAGTTTAGATCCAAATATGCTTTGTAACACTTTAAATAATAAAACAATTAATAATTCTGGATTAGAAGATATGGAAGGTAAAATTATAAATAAAATTTGACATTTTTACATTGCTCAAATTAGAATAGTATAAAAATCATTTGGTTTTATAGAAACGTCAAGTCCTTTACAAGCTGCTACAAAATTGGTGCCGGTTCCAGAATCTCTTATGAGTCCAGATTTTCGACCACCTTCAGGATTATCTAAAGTTTTACCTAAAACTCCACCAAGTAAATTAAATTCACCATGTCAAATAACTATTCCTGCAAAAACTTCTACAGATGGAGATGCAAAAGCGATTCCTATAATAAATACGGTAAATCCTATGGCAAAAACGAATCTTGGTGCTTTGAAAGCAAACGCACTTGTAAAGAGTAACTCTGCAACTAATTGCTCTATTGGAAAACCGAGTATAGCCAAACCAATTATTACGAATGCTAATGGAAAATGTCCTCACAGTGTGAAAATCAACAATTATGTACAGAGCAAAACATTACCTGTTAAACGTAGTTCGAAAGGTTCACCCTATTTAGGAAGAAACATACAAAGACCTAAAAGTGCATGTGATAGAAATAAATCTAGCTTAATAAAACGAGGAAAAGACGGAGATGGAGATAACGCGGCACTTAGTAGTGACGAAGATAGTGAAGTATGTCAAGCAAAATTGGATAGCATTAGAAGTAGAGCAATACAAAGACGGCAAGAGGATAGTAATAAAGATCAAGATCGTACCGAGAAAGCAGCAATTTGTATTCAAAGAATGTGGAGGGGCTATCATACTAGAAATCTTAATAAAAAAGCAACTACTATACTAAAGTCTATAGAAATGATGAGAACGAATAAATATATTCAGTAAGAGTTTTGTTTGATTTTTATATTAAACCAAAATATTGATTACGTTATTAAATGTATCTTATTAATATTCTAGAAAATTATCCACCGATATGGAAGCAACAAGAACTGCATTGGAAAGCGAACATAAACTACAATTGCTGCAAATGCAAGCTATTAATGCATTATGGAAAAAGGTTGTTAGCTTACAGCCGGGAGGTAATCGCGAAAATACGAGTAATGAAAGCGAAACTACTGCACAACCGAATGCAGATGTCGTAACAAATCTAGCGCAAACGTGTAATTTATTGCATACACAGGTAAGCTCATATCATAATATAAATAATTCGTATGATAATTATTATTTATTTTTTGTTCTTCCTTCTCCCACTCTCTTATTTAGAATCGCATCGATTGCATGATCATTGTTATATTATTATATATGAATAATAATTTAGATATGTGTGTATAGGTACAACAATTACAAGATTCAATGTCAGAAATAAGACGGTGTATGTCAACTATGCAACCGAAAACAATACTAGTTGATCATGGAGTTGCAACTCAAACAGAAATTTCAGCTGTTCATACACCAGCTGGCGAAGAAAATACATTTCCTTACGCTAGACCTAATAGACCTCAATCTTTGCCAATACATCAAACAATACATGAGGGAAATGAAAGCAAAAGCTTTGCGTCCAATTTAGTAGATAGTGTTCTTAAAAAAGTATCTCAATCGACCGATACAACTGATGACGAAGTAAACACCGATATTTTAAATTCTAATGAAAATCAAGAAATTCTTAATTCTACTGAACATCCAGATATGTTTAAGAGCTGTGAAGAAATCGTAGAGCCAGAATTCCGAGATGTAGTAGTAGATAGTAAAATAACAAATGAATATGAAGGAATAATTGATAATAACGAGATCGGAGGTGAGGTTTGCGAAGAAACATTGTGCAAGGAATTGCATAATCTTATTGAAACTGAAAATTCGATTCCAAATGTAGCAGATGATGAAAAACAAAATAATACCAACGATTTTCAAAAAGAAGCATTAAATGCTGATTAAATATGATTGAATCGCTAGAAGCTCATCCTATAATTGTATGTCTCAATAATAAGCTACGAAAAGTGAATTTAATTTTTGGAAAAATATTGCTCTCTGTGCAAAATGATTGATAAATATGAAAAAGAAAATGAATATTGTAAATAATTGAGAAGAAATGCTCCTAATCTCGTAGCCTTAGTGACATATGATATGTGTAGTAGTATTATAAAAATCGATGTATGTTCAGTAGCAGCGCTTTTTTTACCATTTTTTAAAAATGATAAAATACCGATCAGGAATTAAAAAGCTGCCACACATCCTTTTAAATAATATAATTAACATAGTTAAAGAAAAACTAAAAGTATATACTTATAAGCAATTAATCGTTGATCTGCAAGTTTAATTGCACTTATAAAAGCAATTGAACAAATTTGCCGTCCATGTATTTAAGTACAGGACAGTTTATTGATGTACAAAATAAACATTCCTAGCACTCGGTATTAAAAAAAAAAAAAAAAAGATCTCGTTTCTTTAAAAAGAATTTAATCGAATATCTGATTGTACAGAAAAAAGCAATTCTGCACATTTGACATTATAATGGTCAATGCCATTTGTCAATTTTCCGAAATAATTAGCTATTGTGTATATGAAGATAGAATTTTAATTCATATGAACATTTTTTAATGCTAGAAAATACCACATAATTATAGATTTAACAAATTTATAATTATAACTTATTAATTTATTTATTATTTATTTAATAATCGATTCCAATGATAATAACAAGTCAGTAATATTATTATAAACGAACTGAGTGAATTGTCAGCTAGATAGAGGCATAAGACTTTTATTCTCTAGTCAATAGAACTTATAGTTCGCATATTTAAACATATTACTTATTAATTAATTATAGAATTGTTATGTAGGTATGCATGTTATACTGAAAATTAACGATCGATATTATTAAACAATAGAATTATATTTTTATTTTAATAATCTAGCATTAATACAGTTTTGCCTGTCTTCTGTACACCTTTCACGTGGTGAATTGTAAGCACATAAATATAATAATTACACACACACAAACACAAGCACTGCTTTTTCAAAAAACTATATACTCAGAAAGAGTGTATATATGTTTGAATATTTCACTAATCTCATTTTTATATGCTGTGACCGCTTATAATTTACTGTATTAAAATTTAACATATTTAAGATATAAAATATTCATTTATACAATGTGTTATTAATAGGTGAAAAAATGTACATGGATTTGAATATCTATAAAATGATAGAATGTTACAAACATCTTACTCGGTGAAACGTTTATTATTTTATTTTATTTATATTTTATCTCTATTATATTTAATTATGTTTTATTATTATTATATATTAGAAATAAAAAACGTCTTCATATACATCGTCGTAAATATTACAAGTAATATCAATGTAAAGCAGCAGTGTGCGCCATGTTAGAATTACTCACTTGCTTTTCTATGTTTTTCATTGCATGATATTAGTTCATTATACAAATATAATCTAATATTTTAATATTCTGTCAGCATTAAGTTGAATAGATACAAATGATCAATCAAAGAACAAAAAAGTACATGAATTTATAAAACATAAAAAAATTTGTATTTATTTGACATCCTATATATTTTATTTATTTCATATAAAGCATCATCTATATATAGTCTGTTGAATCGTAAAAATTGTGTATTTGTATCTGGCATTTATTTCTTAAACGTTTGTTATTATATTTACGATTACAAGTACTTCAACGGTATTGGCAAATATTTTTTACAGTTGACAAAACTATAGGCTATGTGTGAATTTATTCCTTTTTATACTAATTTGTACTTCAGACACATAATAATTGTCATGTTTGTGTATTTCTTTACTATCATCAAATTTATTATCCTGACACGGTAAATTATTCAAATGATTATTTATTTTTAAACATTCGTTGAAATGTAGCTTTTTCTACTACTAAATAGGAATTCATGATTTTTTTCACTTTTTCAATTTCCTTTATAATATCTTTATTGTTGGGACATTCTGCAAGTGCACGTTTTAAATCCATTAAACCGACATCGTATTCATTTAGACCCACGTGTGCTTGTCCTCTTCGAAAATATGCTTTACCATTTGATTTATCTATATCCAAGACCTAAATAATATATCGAAATTAAATATAAAATATAAATATTTCATATAACAATAAAAAAAAAAAAAAAAAACCTACCTCGCTACATAATTTAACCGTGCTGCGATAATCTTTTTTCTTTAATTGTACAGCAGCAAGATTAAGCATTATTGTTACTTTAAGATCCTTCATAGAATCTTCCATAGTATCAGGCATGTTTTTCATTTTTATCATCCATTCATAATAACGTAATGCTTTCTTATATTTTCTCCCAGCATCTACATAATTATTCATTGAAAAATAATGATTTCCAGAATCTTTTATTTTTCTAACAACATCCGAGACATATTTGTACTACAAATTTTGTTCATTATTAAAGCTTTCATAATTTTATATAAAATAAAATAAAATTAAAAAAATAATGAAAACACGATATAGATCAAATTTATCTAAAATCAATGCTTACAGTCAATTGATCAGTACTCAATTCATAATTCCAGTCTTCTGGCCATGGTGTATAAACATCTTCGGAACCATCATTTTCCTCCAAATTCCAACTTTCACCTCTTATCAATTCTCCGCAATCAGTTATTTGAATTTTCTTAATAAAGTAATAATTTTATGTAAGATATTTTGTAACTGATGATACCTTAATTACATCATAAGGGAATAATTGATTACCTCAACAGGTTGATCCTTGACAACCGGTACATTGTTAACTTCTAGTACTACTCCCATACCTTTGATAACTTTTCCAAAAACTACATTGGTATTGTCTAAATGCATACAAGGAACAGTAGTGATGATGAATTGAGAACTATTACTATTAGGTTGACCTTCATTTACCATGCTCAATAATCCTCCAGACGAATGTGAAATTTCAAAAGATTCATCCTCAAAGTGAGGACCATATATACTTTCACCACCTGTTCCATTAAAATTAATAATATCTCCTCCTTGAATCATAAACTGTGGTATCACTGAAATCAAATAAGCAAATTTAATAAATAGAAAACATATGCCATTTGAAAATGATTATTGTAATGCATACCCTTGTGGAATATTGATCCTTTATAATGTAATTTCTTATTATTAACGCCATTTCCCTTTTCTCCAGTGCACAAAGCACGAAAATTTTCAGCAGTTCGGGGTGCAACATTTTTAAATAATTCTATTACAACTCTTCCAACTAAATTGTCATGAAATAAGAAAAACGCATAAGTAATATTAATCTTATAATATTTATCAAGCATTAAACGTATCAACAATTTTATGAATGAGAAACAATCAAATAATTGTTAAATATTAATAATAAGGAATACAATAATTTTCCCCTTTTCTTCTTCGAAATGATTTAATATTTCTATTCCTAAATACCTTTTTCTTCTTCAATCGCAATATCTAGAAACACTAATGGATTCTTTTCAAACTTATTCATTTGATCTTCCAATGGACGCTTCATGTTTTATTTCGTCAAGTTGAAAATTATACTTATATGTAATTTTTGAATGATTAACATGTCATAGTAAAAATATTGTGAAAAGAAATATAAAATTATTTTATAAATAAGTTTAATAATACATATAATATTTGATTAAAATGAATTATCTGTGCAATTAATTATTATTTACATTAAATATAAAAATTCAAAGATGACAACACTTCAGAAGTTTTCGTTACAACAGTTAAACCATGAACGATGTCAACGATTCCACTTCGTCGATGCATATCGCACTGTGTTATTATTACTTTTCCTTGAGATAGATGGCAACATCGTCGTAAAAAATAAAACAAACTAACTCTGTCTGATATGAAAAATGAGTCCATCAAATAAACGTATGAATACATTTTGATTTATCGTTTTTTAATATCGTATTAAAGGTTAGGTCTTTAATAACCTATTTACAAAAATTAACTATCACAATTTAAATTACTATTAGGAAAAAAAAATGTTATTAATAGGAGAGAGAGGCCCCACCGAGATTTGAACTCGGATCGCTGGATTCAGAGTCCAGAGTGCTAACCATTACACCATGGGACCTCAAGGATTGATAATGTATGAATTGTATTATAATAATTGTAGATTTTATTTTGTTTTTTTAATAACGAGTATAGTAATTTAATTATATTATGATTTTAATATATTTTTTATATATGTATAAATATATATATATAATATGAGATATAAATTAATTTTCTCAACAATGAGAATTAGTTCAGCAAGTGTTGAACTCTAAACAAAAAATTTCATGTGTATTCTTTTTTTTTTTTTTTTTCTATTCATCCATTTGTGTGTCCTCTCGTTCTCTTCTATTCATAATAGAAATATTATAATGAAATGTTAGAGAAAATAACAAATAATGCATACCGTTATGTATAATAATAATAATAATTTTAATGTATTCGTGTATAATATTAATATTGATAACCTATACATATGAATTCGGCAGGAATTCTGTCTATACACATATATATATATATATATATAGAAAATATATATATATATATACACACATATATATATATTCTCATTAAATGTAAACAAGCAATTATTTACTGGGATATTATAAGAATCATATATAGTGAAATATCTAAAAGCTATCTAGTACTAGTGTGTATTGCACAATATCACTATCAAAAATGTTTCCTTCTGTACTTAATAATCTATTGTTTGTTTTCAATACTTTTTTTCTTTTTTCTGTTATTTTTTTTCTAAGCAATTCTCGTATATCTCGGCCTTTAAACAATTCTCTCACTCATAATATCATATTTATGAGTAATACTTTTATTTATAGCACACATCATATAATCATTGATATCTTGAACAATATTGCACAAAACAATGCACAAATAATTTTTGTCTTTTCTTCTTTTTTTTTTTTTTTTTTGTTGAAGCATTGTACCGTGCCAGTTGAACAATAAAAATGTACAGATTTTCTTCTACTTTTGTAACAATTGGGTAGTGTGCGCAAACTAATTTTACTTTGACTTCTTTTGCTTTATTAATTTGCCTTATTATACACTTTGATTTTTATTATTCTTGCTAAGAAGTGTATTAGGCAAATTATATTGAAAATTTGTCTGTACTAGTTTATTACGATTGATTAATATAAGAGCTATATAAAGTATTCATTTTAATGGGTGTCGATTATATATTATACAAGTACAACCCCAGATAGAAATGCTGCTTGCTTTTTTTTTCTAAAGCCAAGATGGATAAAAGTGCATGGTTTAAAAACTTAATAGAAAAATAATAAGCGTTCTTGCGCACTACCAGAAAGTAGTCTCCATCCACGTTTGATGTTCAAATACTGGATGATGGCGCGTACACAAATTAGGAGACCTATAATTTTAAATCCATTAGCATTTAATCATTTCATTTAAAAGTTATTAATTATACTAACCAAATGCCATTATCAACCACCATAGCCATGAGTTTTCTCGCGAGGCAAGATCGGTAGAATGTTTAACAATCAATGTCCATTTTGTCAATGAAAGGCCAAAACCAGATAATGCTCCGTAACGAGAAGCAATTGTATGACAAAAACACATCAAAAGAAGAAATCCAATCCAGTTGAATAAGAAAGCAACTGTAACCATAATTAGAATAATATATGTGTTAGCATTGTTTTGTCTAATTCATTAATTCGCTAAATAACTAACTAAACTCTCAGAAATAATTATACTGACCTGTTTAATTATGAAAGAAAGCAAAATAAAGTACTTTAACTAATATAAGTAATACATACATTTTTAAGAGGCAGAGTAGTTAAGATCTCAAGTATAAGAAAAATATTCTTTGATTTCGTTTCAATACTTGACTATACTGCGCTATTGTAAATGAGAAGACATAAAATATGTGTTTCTTCATTTAAAGGCTTATTTTGTTAATTTTGAGATAACATTTCTCTACTGATCTAAGGGATTATATTAAGTTTTCTTTGAAAACTATGAAAACGAAAAGAAAATAAATGTTCTTAAAATCGTTCTTAATTTTGTCTATCCTTTAAAAATAAATTCTGTTAATTGTACTGTTTTATCGACTTTCAACGTACCCACACTTTAATTACTGGCTTCTTGTGAATTCATATATAATCTCGTTATTTAGTCAAACTACTAGTTTTGATTTATAATAAAATTCTTTTTATATGCTTTTCCAAAAATGCCTAGTTATTTCGGATAAGAAGACCTAGGGTTTTCATAATTTAACTAAAGTATACAATTTAACGTTGATGTATACATACATATATTATTTTTATTTCTGTAAAAATGATTAAACAAAAAAAAAATAATAATAATAATAAAGATATATTTTACCCAAAAATGCTGTAAAAAACATAAAATCAGTGCCAAGTAATCCACTTTCTGGATCTCCTTCTGTAGCTTCTGTGTCTATAGCAAGAATTGTCAATGGTTGTTGTGGTGGTCTGATACTGCCAGGCTGTACAAAGTATAAATACAAAGATCATAAGGATACATTTCCAAAAATAGAAAAACTCAATTATAAGATTGATAAATAATATTCCGGAGAATATGCTTACCACGTGCAATTGAGGATGAGATTCACCTTGTAATGTCTTTTCGCGTTGTACTTCTTCATAGCTAGGTAGTTTAGTAGCTACTTCGTAAGGAGGTGGTGCTGAAAAATCTGGTTTCGGTGGTGGTATTTCTTCACCATCGGCCTATTACAATAAATACTGTGTTAGTTAAAGTTCATATAATAATAATGTACATCGAATAGATAAATTACCATTCTAGTAGTAACAGTAGCCTGAGCCATAGATGCGTTATTGGAATGACTAAGCATACCTCCTTGTACGGTAGGCAGTGTTACAGTCAATGAAGGTACTTCGTTACGTATAGATGCTTCCCCATTTGTATCATCATTTGTTTGGGATGGCTAGAATGTTGTATTTAGATATTTCACATTAAATTAGTAACTTAATGTCTATATATGAAAAGCAATGAAATATTACTTTCACTTATCTCACTCTCTCTCTCTTTCTTTCTTATAAGAGTATCAGCAAAAGGAGAACATTGAATAAAAAACGTTAATTATAAAATAATTCCAATGCACCTTTACGTTCTATTAACTCTCTTTTACATATCAATTATAACCATAGAAAATATAATCACAATCATTAACTCATTTAATAGGAACGAATTTTGTGACAGCGTAGGCATGGACATTTTTCAGTTTATTGTAGTAAAACAAGTGATAATCAAGGAAGATCAATGTATGCATACATTTTTTGTACTTAGTCAACGCGTAATTATTAGTTTTGTGACATTATATTTCTAGATATTGTTTAAAAATGCATTCAACGAAAATGCTAAGATGTTTGTCAGATGACAAGGAAACACAAAGCACTACGTGAGGAGGAGCGAATTATGTGCCCTCAAAAGATGAAATATTTACGGTGTCCCGTAACATTCATGACACGTACCATATTGTAACGAATGTTACTATCCATTCCCAATCAGATTTGCAAGAAACTTGTTAGCAATACTGTAATTTCGTGCAGAAGGTGAAAATTAATCTTAATTACGATAAATGCTGCTTGTAAAATAGGAAAAAATTCTCACAATCGATGGCTGACAGCTGGTAAGATTGCAAGCGCCGTGAATATTATGTTTTTTCTCCGCTCACGTCAATCATTTTTTCCCTAATGTTTATCTCTTAAATTTTTTTTTTATATGCATGAAAAAAAATCTATTTCCATAAAATGTATGATAGCCAATATCTGTCATTTTTACAAAAGACAATTAAACAATTCAAACGTGTAGTTTAATTGAAAATAAACCAAAAGAACTTGATAAGTATCATATAGGAATGTTATGCATTGTAAACAAGCCTGTAGGACGGGACTTTAGCATATCGGAATAATAACGATACCGGAAGTTTACAAATTAAGAATATTCACATGTAATATTAATATTTGATAAATATTTTTCATACATTAACATTATTTTAGTATACTAATAAAAAGGATTTTTTAGAAATAAGAAAATAAAAAGGAACTTTGCTTCGAAGAAAAATAATCATTGATCATTTGACTAGCGCACGGTGGAGGGGATGATTTGGATCACGTCGTCATGCACAAACGACGCTCTGCTCTACTCATTCAGTCTCTTGCCGTTCGTGAGCGGAGCAGTAGTGGTGATAGTTTGACCATGTCTGAAATGTACAAACTAGGTGATTTGGTATGGTGTGTATTAATTGAGTGATCAATCAATCGTTTTTTTATTTAAATATGAAGAATCTGTGATGCTTATTGAATAGTGATCATTGATTGTTGATTTTTTTTCTTAATTTCAGGGCGAAGATGAAGGGATTTTCACCATGGCCTGGCCGGGTAAGTCATTGGAGTCAGTTCCTTGGTAACGGTTCTCTGACTTTATACTATTGCATTGCGATGAGTGATGCGCGCCACGAAGTCAAATATACTATCGTTATTGAGCGGGATTTTTTTAACAGTCACAAGACTTGTATTTCCATTATCTCTTGTTTTCATTCGAAATTCACGTATTTTTCACATATTTGATATGTCTAAAAACTTTGCACTGTGTTGTTTCTGAGTCTTATGTATCTCCCGCCACACCCGACCTTCGAATTCAAATTGGCGCGCTAGTTACAAAAATATAACCTAAATTCACTTCCCCTTAATTCCCCCCTCTTTCTCTACACACGCGGAACGGTTCAACTTTATCGTAGACCTTTATGATATTTATGATTAGAATGCGATCTATTTCTCGTATTCTACTTTAACAAGTGATTAAGTAATATTTCTTCGCTAATGTACGGAACATACATCTCTTATCTGTTTTTATATCATTCGCAACAGTTCTCTATTCCGTTCAGTCACCTATACGCATTTACGCGGGAACTATGACTTTACGGGATTCATTTACATATGTCAAGTTTATTTAATATTTATTTTACGTTTAACAATACTGACAATTATTACAATTGCATTAACATTTATTATTGAAACGAAATATTTGAGATTATCTTCTTTCATATGTTAATATTTGTTTCCTTTGTAATATTAAAATTAAAATTCACTTCACTCGAAACTTTAAATCCATAATATTTATAAATTAAATTGGTCAAAGTATATGATGCTTTTTATACTAGTTCTATGATGCAATTGTTGGCACATATTTTGTTTCATACTAATTTAAATATAATATCCGAAGGTATCCATTCCTTCAAAGGATTTGAAGAAACCAGGAAATACTAAGAGAGGACCAGTACAATGTATTTTCTTCTTTGGAACTAATAATTAGTAAGTTCAAGTTTATGTTTGATTTTTCTTTTAATTTGTTTTTTCCTTCTATTCAATCTTTTTATTTTTATTTATTTTTTTTTTTTTTAAATTTTGTTTAATTAATAATAATTTCATTAATTGTATCAGTCTTTACATTGAAAAGATGCATTTCTTCTAGTGCATGGATAGAAGAATCCAATATCAAACCGTACCAACAATATAAAGATACTTTGGTAAAATCGAGCAAGTCTGTTGCTTTTAAAGATGCAGTGGAAGCTATAGAAGATTATATTGCGAAAGGAGAGGTAAATAAATTATTATGAAAGTATTTAGTAGTTATTTTCGAAAACATATTCAATCGTAAGAATAAGAATAAAAACATGTCATGCAAAAATATTCTTCTTTTGCTTTAGGTATTTGAAGATGGCTTAGATCCAGACTCATTATTTGATAGATTGAAGGAAGACACATTATCTCCGGATAAGAAAATGGTTTCAAAGATACCGAAACCACGCAAGGTGAATTATTGTATTCCAATTTTATTCTTTATGTGTTACGCATAACAGTTATTTCTTTTCAATCTTAATATTTATTTTTTGTTTTTGTTTTTTGGAGTCATAGTTTGGAATAATAAAGAAATTTTTGTATTTGTTGTTAAATAAAGGTATTTTTTTAAATGAAAATTTCAATGACAATATTAAAATATAGGAGACACCGAAAGCTAAGCGATTAGATAGTGGTGGTAGTGACACTCGTCGTCCAGCAAAGAAACAACGCAGAGAGTCCAGTACAAGCAATAGTAACCGAGTCGGTAGCATTAGTCCTGCATTGAATCATTCTACTCCTACAAGGAAGTCAGGTTCAACTCTTCTGAACAGACCAGCCATCATCACCAGACCTGTAAGTTATTCACTTATTTCTCATTGAAAGAAACTTTCAGTTTTTTTTCAATCAGTCACATATACTATCTATTATTTCGCATAGTTTATATTTAATAGATATTATCAAACTCTCATCATGTAAATTGTTTAATACTTGTATACTTTCTGAAGAAATTCATGAGAAACTTCAAATTCTATATCACTCTATTTTTTTTTTCTTTTTTATATATATGTATATATAAAAGTTTAATATAATGAATAAATAAATATTCACAGTTCTCTCTCTCTCTCTCTCTCTTTCTCTCTCTCAGTCTTTTTCTCTACATTTGCAAAAAATAATTAGTTAATAATTAATATACGATTATTCATTAATATTTTTATTTAATTACAATTTTTTTTTACAAATTTTATTAGTGTGTTGTTTTTGATATTTTGGTTATTACTATAATTGATGATAATTTTTGTCATTTTAATGATTTCTAGCTTTGGCTTTGTATATAATACATAATTCATTTTTTATATTTTTTTGGGGTTTTTTTTTTTCTATAGTTGCAGCATAAACTAAATTTATTTTTTGCAATTTTTAAGCAAAATTTTTAAATAATTTTTTCATTCAAAATAAATGATATATTTAATTTATTAAATAAGTAATTTTTTTTTTATTTAAATTAGACTTTTAATTAATATTTATATATGTATATATATATATATATTTTTATGCTTTTATAGTAATTGTATGAATATCGTTTAAGAATTTGAAGAAGTTAGATTGTTTTTCTTTTTTTAAGTTTTTATGGGGTACCATGATGTGTGAGTTGTCCAACTTATCAAATACAGTTAAGTACTCAGTTTTGCCAAAAATTTATCAAAAATTTCTCTTTTCCAAAAAAAAAAAAGAAAAAAAAAACGAAGTACACTGTATTAATTTAATCATAGATATTTCAATAATTTTTTATTCATTATCAAAAGTATTTATTATTATTATTAGTATACTAAATTAATACAAATGAAAAAAAAAAACAAAAGTATCATTTTCATAGATACATATGTAACATATATATACATAAATGCTATTATAATAATTGCATCAATAGTAAATACTATAAATAATAATAATAATAATAATAATAAAGTAATGAAACATTTTATTTCTTCATAATGTATAAACATACATATACGTATAAAATTTAATAAATATCTATTAAATGCATTTTTATTTACATTAATTTGATATATTTTTTTTTTTATTTATGTATAATCATTTATACTCGTCGTTTTATTTCATAATAGACTCATAGTAAAGATAGTCATAGAAAAGAAAAAAAAAAATATAAAAAATATAAAAAAAAATTAAAATCAATTTGTTTTCTTTCTTTATATAATTTTGATTACTGTTACTTTTATTGATAAAGGTTTTTAATGAATGATGTTGTTATATTTTTTTTTGTTTTGTTTTTTTTGGATATTTGAATTTTAATCGTGTGTTCAAATTCGTGCAACAGGTAACACCACCCCTGGACGTCGAAACCCTATCTCAAACACTCAAAGAGAAGAATATTCTACCGTCAAATTTGAAATTTGGTTTCCTCGGTTTGGGAATAATGGGCAGCGGCATCGTTAAAAATTTGATCAACAGTGGGCATAGCGTGATTGTGTGGAATCGAACACAAGAAAAGGTATGTACCATGTGCGTCCACATTTTTTTTCCTTTTTTTTTTTTTTTTTTTTTTTTTTTTTTTCTTCTTCTTCTTCTTCTTCTCTAAAACTAATATATGATAACACAGGTAAAGATATAGAATTAAAAAAAAAAAACAAACAAATATGTTTAATCGTTCAATAGTAT